TTGCGTTGACCGTTATCTGGCTGGCATTTACCACCGGGGCTATCTTCTCTTTCTTCTTTCCTTTTTATAAATGCCAGAAAGGAAAGGACCCGTAAAGAGACCCCAATCGTACGAAACGAGCAGGACATTTAGGGGTAGCTGGTTCATACGAACCTTCTATATCCGTAGTAAAGAGAGCAACTCGAAACCACCAGACGTTTTCACAGCTTTAATCTTACGAAAGCCACGGGTGCTAGAATTCTAGCCAATGAACTTTTCCGTCGTCCGTCTTTGCCAAAACGGTAATCGAGACTTTCCGGATGACTGAGACATTGCTTTATGAAGCAATACGAAGAAGAGAGATAGAAAACCGATCACGCAGACTTTCAGCTTATTTCGACGCTAAAGGGCAAAGCGGTATCTTCTCTTCTGTTCCCCGTCATTTTTATCAATAACCCCGTCAGTCTGTCCTGGAATTTTTGGCATTTACCTCGCGAGCGTTTCTCGATCTATCGCGAGCAGAACGAACTTGCGCTTGCCAATCAACGTGAAATTCCAAATATCTCGTCGTTCTTGGAAAATTTTCAATAAATTTCATACCACCTACGAGCACAAATCAATTCTGATTCAACGATCAAACACGCGCCAATCGCCAAGAACAACCACAAACTTCGATTACTCGACATTCTCTCTATCCAATTTATCTTTACTTTTCATAATTATCTTGCAAAATAATACGTGTATCCACTGACACCAGGTTGAAGGTAAATATCCGAGTATTCAGATTTTTACGGGATTGCTAGAAAGCGGTCGACAACAATTTCAAGCGTATAACGTTGAACTTCTCGTGCAAGTCACTTTGATTAAACGTCCAGGAAGATGCTTTTCACGGGCTCCTCGACGAGGATCATGACCGTCCTTCTTGTGTCTAGCAAACGAGAAAGTAGCAGTCTACTCTTCTTTCCTTCGCAACACGACATCCTTCTGACTTATCCCGCGAAAAATGGATGAACATCAAGGATATCTCGAGTTGAATCCCGACACGTTTCTGTTGCGAATCCCTACACGTTTGTAAACGAACGGAAGGACACGTACAGCACCGACTAATTGGAAAAAATGACTAACTTCGAAACTTTCAAATTGATGTTTAAGGTTCTTCTGTTGTACGCTTACAAATATTTATTTACTCGTTCCCGCAATTTTACATAAAATGATGAAAACTATCCTTTTAAAAATTCACTCGCTTTCGTTGAACCAATCGATAAAACAACGAATGCTCTACCTTAAACGAACAAAATTTGCAGAAACTCGTTCACATGCGTCGTAGAGTCACGCATTGCATATCCGAGCGTTATATTGCATTACCACGGGTCGTATATTCCCGTAATAAATCGATACGCGTTTTATAGTTACGCGCTATAAGACAACTTTTACCTTTTCGTCATTTCCTGTAACAAGTAACGTATGGGAATACATTTCTACGATAAACGCGTAGAGAAAGTTAACCAAAGTGACTGGAAAATATTCCATTGTCGGGTTCGCGGCATTTGAAATATCTGTACGGAGCTCGAATCGCGAAGTCACCGAGATTTCTTGAAATTCTGAATCCTCCTTCGGAAGTCGATAATGAGATATCAACGTCACGAACAGTTGACACTGGATGAAAAGTTTCTATAGCAAGTATCTCCGCGTAGCATGGTCCTTTTATCGTCGTAAAATCTCGCGGTATATGGCTGGAATTCGCAATTAAATTTTAACGAACCTACATCGGAAAATGTAGTCGCGACATACTATGAAAATAAACACCATTGACCAGCCTTCAATATTATATTTTAATATTTTCCAAATGAATGGTCATGCGCTTTTTGTTTAAATTCGGCAATAAAGAAATTCTACTTACAATGTCTCGTAAAATACCTCGATTCAAACTAAGCTTCGAGCAAAACATTTTCCCCTCATATTAAAAAGAGGAATTGTGGAAACAGATAAGGCGGTTACCAATAAGGAACCGTAATTCTGTTATTACAATGACTTTTGCTGAATCTGTTCAGAATACGCATTTACGACTGGGTGCACAACTAACAAGCACAGCATAAATCAATGTTCCTCTAAGCTACAGAATAGCTGTTGTCCTCAAGTTAATTACAAAACTGTTACATTGCACCGTGTTTACAGCCGAATATTTACGATGGCACTTAAGGTCGCCATATTTGTCAAATAAATACGAATGAGAAATGATTGTTTACCAACAGGAAATGCTTTCTATAATCAAGGTAAAACGCATTTCGTTTCAAAATTAATTCAAAAACTTGTTTATAGCATATGCTTGTGCTTTTAGGGATTTAATTCGTTCATTTACTCTTTGTCAATTAAGACTCGTTATTGAGCAAGCGAGCCGAAGGCGAGCGAAGCTCTCATACTTGACTTTGCAACTTCTTTCTCCGCGTTTTTCTTTTGCACCACTCGACCAATTCTCATCAAATTTTGCACGCGGATAAATATACAGTTTTATACACATATTTTCGTTCAAAACATATTCCTGGATATATCGAGACCAACTTGAGTCGTCCGTGTTTAAGGGGTGAAAAAATTTCGCTCTGAGTAGAAATACACTCCTGGAAATTAGCGGTCAATTTTGAACTTTGACCTCATGCGCAGTAGCAAACCGTTACAGATAGTACAGTTTTTTTTTTTTTTTCATTAGAATACACTTTGATCCAAAACGGACCTATATGTGTTGTCTTTATTAAATATAAATATAATATTCTATTGACAGAATAACAAAAGATATAAAACTACAAAGTATTGCATATACAAATAGTGCAGTTTATAGACTAAAAAATTGCCGCCCATCCAGCGGCGAAACGGGTGAAATAAACCTAAAAAATAAACTTAAAAAGTGAGGGTCCGAACACGCATATAAGGAAAATAAAAAAATGAATATTTCGGCACTTTGGCGACGTAGCATGGTTCCTGAGGCATTTAGAAACAAATTTCTATTAGGGTTTGATGCGTTTTGATGCCTAATAAAGCCAGGAAATCAATTTTTGTCGAATTAGGTCGGAAACGGTACAGGTGGCGCCATCTAGCGGCGAGCGGCGGAACTACGAAAAAGTAAAATTTTGATTTTCTCCGAAATTAGGCAATTTTACGTATTTCTGAGGGTCAGAAATTGTTCTGTGACCTTTGTAGAATCTATATATTGCCCCAAGAACCTCCTCAGAACGCTAGATAAGAAAAGAAAAAAATAGGTCAAAACATGGACTAAAAAATTGGCGTCCATCTAGCGGTGAAAGTTGGAACTACAAAAATATAAAAATGCGATTTTCTCGAAAATTAGCGAACTTTGAGTACTTCTGAGGCTCAGAAAGTGTTATGCGATCGCATTAGAACCAAAATAAAGCAATAAAAGCTTCCTAAAGGCTTTAATAAAGAAAATAAAAAAAATGTCATTTTGTGGAGAAAATTTGTGGCGACATCTAGCGGCGAAATTGAGAACTAAACCGAAAAACCGTATGTCCGAACACGCAGTAAAGGGGTTAAATAAAAATTGATATTCTCGGCTCAATAGGCCTAAAAATGAATAACTTATTGAACAAAAATTGCTTTAAAATGTCTAAAGAATTATACTACGTCGTCAAAGATCAGAAATATTACTTTTTATATTTTCTTAACGCGTGTACCGGCATACGTTTTTTCAGTTTAGTTCGCAGTTTCGCCGCTAGATGGCGCCACAAATTTTCTCCATAAAATCACATTTTTTTTATTTTCTTTATTAAAGCCTTTAGGAAGCTTTTATTGCTTTATTTTGGTTCTAATGCGATCGCATAACACTTTCTGAGCCTCAGAAGTACTCAAAGTTCGCTAATTTTCGAGAAAATCGCATTTTTATATTTTTGTAGTTCCAACTTTCACCGCTAGATGGACGCCAATTTTTTAGTCCATGTTTTGACCTATTTTTTTCGTTTCTTTTCTAGCGTTCTGAGGAGGTTCTTGTGGCAATATATAGATTCTTAGGCGATAAGGAACAATTTGTATATCCCAGAATTTCGGAAAAGTCCCTAGTTTTCGAGAAAATCGAGATTTTAGTTTTTCGTAGTTCCGCCGCTCGCCGCTAGATGGCGCCACCTGTACCGTTTCCGACCTAATTCGACAAAAATTGATTTCCTGGCTTTATTAGGCATCAAAACACATCAAACCCTAATAGAAATTTGTTTCTAAATGCCTCAGGAACCATACTACGTCGTCAAAGTGCCGAAATATTGCATTTTGCATGCGCAGTAGAATTGACATAGGCGGCTCATGTACCTATCGTAATGCTGACACAAAATAATTAATTACTCATTACCCGAACACTATTTATGAACTTTTATGATCGAACCATGTAAATAATGTAGTGCTGATCATTCTTCAATCATAAAAGTGCACAAAATATATCCACAAAACGTGTAATTAATTATTCAAAATGACCTCGAGTATACCGCTTGTCACCGTGGCTGGCCTCAGGTTATTAGTTAATAACTAATTAATTTCATTAAAAATCTAAACAAATATGATACAAGAAAGTAGCTGAGGGATCGCTGAACATTCTGTTATAATAAATGTGCATAGACTGTGCTCAGAAAGTGAGTAATTAACGATTTTGCATACTCATTATCGTGTATATTCCTCCTGCGCGCCGCCCGCGCATGTCACGGAGGAATAATCACCGAAAAACCATATTCCCGTAGCCTTTAAAGCATTTCTCATTGCCGTCGTTCGAAAATGGCACAGCCTGGTTCATCAGGCGGCGCGCGGCGGAATTAGCAAAATATAAAATAGTAAACGAAATCCTTTTAACAGTAAATTGGAACAATGGCTTTACAATACTCTCGAAACATAAAAAGAAAATAATATAAAGTACTTAAAAAGGAGCATTTTATGAACTAAAACACGGAAACTAAATTCTGTAAACCAATTTTGTATAGCCTGTCTATCCTATAATAAAAATATCAACATTTACGTATTAAATTTTATTAAAACAAATATACAGATTATATCTTATGGCTTAACAAATAATACATTTTTTAACAACTTACTTTTTGCAGAAAAATTGATGTCCTTTAGATGATAGAAATCTGTACTTAGTAAGCGTTTTTGATTTCAGAACTTATAATTATTGCATATAACAATCAGCGAGTTCTTTATGTACAAAATTAGTAAATATATCGATCATATTACAGGACAAGTCCTTGATATGAAAGACCGTCAGCTTCCGGAGACTCCATCCTATTTCTCAAATGTTCCAATGTATTCGCTAAATGTTTTTGAATTTGTTCAGTTTCTTCGCTAACTTCTAAATTAGGAAGCTCTTCCCTAATTTTTGCGATTACTTGGTTTAAAATTTGAACGGTTACCTAAACATAATTGTTTGTACATGAATTAGTGAACGTTAATAAAGTACCACGAAAGTCTATTAAAAATAATTCTCACCGCTGTATTTCCCTTCTCGTAGAAATAAATATAATGATTTAATAATTCAACGTAAAGTTGTACTTGAACTGAAGTATCCATACATTGGCTTGCTATTCTGATACCTTTCTTCAAACAATCCAACACTTTATTCCCATCTTGCATCTAAGATAAGATAAGTACATAATTTATATTTCATTAGTTTTATAACAATTATATAAGAACGTAAAAAGTAATTCTACTCGCCTCTTTTCCTCCTGTTGCTAATGATTTTCCTGACCAAAATATATGAGAGCAAGTAGCAACACCTCTACACTGGTCTGGTTTTCTCAATAATTTACTGGCGTACAAAGCACATTGATTACGAACCGGTTCCGCATTTTCTTCGCTAAAGCAACTCATTTGCTCGAACGTAGCAATAATTAATGTAATGGCTGCTAGCTGAGCCTTGGAATCGCTTATTTCATCTTCATATATTGAAAATGCTTGACTCATAAATTCATAAGCAACCATTTCAAAATTGTCGAAACGAATTTCTCCTATTGCTATTGCACCTTGAAGGAATAGCCTTAGTGGCAATTCTGCCAGTTCAGCTTTCATTAAAGCCGTGATAGTTGCGTGACAAAACTGGAAAATTTTTTGACATTTCTTTTGCCACATTTCATCCTAAAAAAAGAAGTAATTAAAACAATTATCGATGTGTATCTATATTTTATAAAAGTATAAACAATTTACTAACTTGATCTTTCAAGCCCTTATATGTAAAAGCTAGCTGATAAGCCTGAAATACTATTGGTGGTAAAGTGTATTTTATTCTCTTATTTCCACCTGCACTAAAATGTTTCCTGGCAGCACTTAATATCATGTATTGTGGATCAGCCGTTTCAGATTTAAAATGATGTATTAATCTACCAAGAAGTCCTTGTTCTTCTGCGAAATCTTCAGGATCTTCCTCTATGTTGGGTTGATCAGGTTGATCTTGTACTAACGGAGATATCATAGAAAGTACAGCATCTACTTGCTCTTGAGTTGGAATTAAAGTTTCATTTTCTAAAATATTTGTTATTATATAAATTGCTAATAACTTCCGGCCTTCAAAATCAAAATAATCTAGTAGCGGAGCAAAATGATCAAGTTTTAAAACAGTTAGTATGTTTTTATAATTATCTATTGGAATTTTCATCAACCTTACTAACTCTCTTGACACAGCACTATTATATTCCAGTCTGAAAAATTTAACCAATTTATTGCATATTCATCTCCATGTAAATTTAAATATAACACATACTTATCCACATTCTGTTTTTGGAAAATTTGGACAGTTGTTAATAAAACTTTATCCACATAATCCACTCTGTCGGGATAACATTTGTGTGCTAGATTAATAAGAGCTACTTGTAGAGAAACTATATCTTCTGGAGGCATATCTTGTCGAGTCTGTATACAATAAACAATTTCACTAATGAAAAATAATTACAACAATAAAGACTTTTCCGTCAAATTTTTCTCAGACTTAAACTAGATAAGCAAGGATGATTTAAACATTGATAACTGTAATCATAGCAATATCAAATTTGTGCAGCATCTGATCATCATTGAAGATTTACATTAGTCAATAATTTACACGTATATAACATTAAAGCAACTGTGCCAACCTGGATAATAGTAGCAATTTGATCGCTAAAAACATCAAATAGTTTTACATCCTGTGGGATTCCAGGTACTTGATTTGGACTTCCTGGCCCTCCTACACCGTCTGATCTTTGACTAAATGCTGCAAGACGATCTATCAATGAAATAATTATATTTTTTACGTTTACGCCATTTTGAAGTTCTGCACAGGACTTCAAAAATGCGTTTAACGTTTGCAGATGAAATTCATCAGGAAAAACCTAATTAAAAATATAATTAAATTATTTATAATGATATGTGTATGACATAATTTAAAGTACTTTTAATTCTATTATTTACTTGAATTATGCACTCCATGAGATACTCTTGTGCAATGGCATCCCTACAACTAACTACTTGTTCCAAAATTCCTGGTAAAACAAGCTAAAAATCATCTTCTTATTAATCATATTAATTTTTTCAAATCTTTAAAAACAGAATGTATGCAAGATCCACCTTTTCATACTTATCTAAAGTAACTGATTCCAACTGACTGAGTCGTACAAGATTAGTGCCTACTAAAATTCTAAGTTCTTCTCTTTCTCTCTCTCTTCTTTCTCTATCTCTACTGTGACCTTGATGTTGCATGCGTACCCATAATTTATTCATTTCTGCAAAATTCATCAGAACAAAGTCTATGCTATCACGAACCTAAAAAGAAAATCCATAGTATAAACTTATACGTTTGAAAATATAATTATTCTTTCCTCTATACATACGCTTCCATCTTCGTCATCTCCTTCTGCAACATCCGGTAAAATGTTACGGGTACACTGTAATAAATAATTTCTTAAAAAAAGACCTCTCAGAGGGTGCTGGACTCCTCTGCACATCTCTACTAAATCTCTTAACAGGTCTCTTTTCAAACCAGGAGCTGTTTTGATATATACCAATCCAACTGTGATAAGCAAATACCTATAATATCGAATAATATTATCAACAGTGTATCAATAGCATTATAAAACTTATATATTAAGCTTACAGTCTAGGTACAATATTGCCAACATATTGCACTAATTCATATAAATCTGTAACTTTTCTTCCTTTTTGAAACTCATCTAACAAATAAAGCTCTAAATGTCTTAACTCATCGGTAATAGACATATCTAAGATTAAATGTAAGGAAATTTTAAAAAATTATTATATACATTTTAATACAGGAACTAATTGATAAGGATACATAATTCATAATAACTCTTTGGACTTAGAAGAGATGTTCTAAGTTCTCCTAACATTGTAGAAGCATGTTTCAATGCATCCATTAACTTGGATTTGTCCAAACAGTGTTTCATTTGAAAAGCTTGTACTTTGACTACGCCAATTGCATCTTCAAGTAATTTTTCCTGTTCTTCCATTCCTGTTATGGCGGGTGTCATTGGCTGTGAGAAAAATAAAGATACCTACCAGGAACACCAGGTAGTACCATGCTAGGTAAGCCATTCAATGCAAGCATGCACTATTTTAAGCTTGTATGATGATAAAAGCATAGAAAAATTATGTCGTTACTCTATAACAGCATTAATTATTCAAAAGAAAAGTTATATGAACTATGCAGAAAGCAAGTAATTTACTAATGTTACAATCCTTTGGTAATGAATATATGCCTGAAAGAATTCTATTCTTAAAATTATAGTTCTAAATCTTTATTACTTTAATACAATGTTCTATTAGAACCAGAGGTTATACTTTCATCAAATTGCCACAAACTAAAACATCACGTATTACAGAAATGTTTTTCTTATTAGATTCCAACGATAGATAAAAAATAATGAATCAAAATTCACACATTCTCTGAAATGTTAAACATAAACACAAAAATTTTGACAGCACTTAACCTACAACGTTAAAATATTTCTATCGATGATAGTTATCTAATATTTATGTTTGAATTTAATTAGTATATATTAACTGCTTCCAAAAGCAAGGGTTTAACATGCTTTTCAAAATTAAACGTATACTTACCATTTTCTTTCTTTTAAAATTCGAACACTCGTTGCCTGTATCTGAAACAACCCTCTGACAGTGATACGTTCTACAGAACTGTAGATACCAGTATAGTGTGTACGAATCTATAATCTATACTATTTCATCCCGTATAATAGTTGTATAAACTATATGTGCGTTGAAGTTTTTTAATGTAGGGACTGATAAAAAGAAAAGTGTCCCACCACTCATTTCATTTATTCATGTATTTTATATCCAAAAACAAAAAACTTTTCTACGCTTTCCTGAATTCTTCTTAAATTTTTCTCTAAGATTTCATTCAATTCTTTTTGGGATCTTTCGACAATTTATCTAATTTAAGGTGTCTTTAGATTCTTCCAGGTTCTCTCGATTACTACACGATTTTCACGGGGTTCCTCTTCTATCCATTGATAATAATTCTGTCTTCTTTTTTTGTGTTCCTTTTGAATTTTTCACAAATTTTCTCCAAGTTTTACCTAGTTGTTCCTAAATTCTGACCAAACTTTCCCTAGATGTTATCCAGATAAAATTACGTCATGATCCAGATTTTTCGTACCATTTTCTTGAGTCCAATTTACATTCTTCGAAGATTTTCTCTGAACTCTATCTAAGCTCTTCCTAACACTACTGAGCTTTCGTAGCGTTTCATATTTTACTCAATTATTTAAAGTTTGAAAAATAACAATAATACATATTGTTCTATATACAATAATATAAATACTTAGATTTAAAATGATCAGATAAAAGAATACGAATAATTAATTTTTTGCCAAGCAATGCAAAATATTTATGAAATAATATTTCTTTGGATAGTATCTTATTTTTTTATGATACAAAAACAAAAGATATTTTAAACATATGATCATGTTGTGAGTAATTTCTAACTAAAATAGATTGATTTCCACAATTATTGTAAAAATTCGCGCCGTTTAGGCGCATGTTATCTTCAATAATGGATTAATTCACATATGTCGCTGTGTGTCATAAACTATCTGCGTCATCTACAGATATTTGTAGATGAGATTTCTATAAGTGTTTTTGGTAAAATTTTGTTTGTTCTCTTCGGTGAGATTCATATCATCGAGGTAAGAATAGTAGAAAATAATTGTATATAACAAAAATAAGAAGGATTTGGACACTATGGATTTTACTTTATAGTACAAAAAGAAACGTATGAAATCACTCTCTCTATCTATCCAGATTTCCTTGGGACTTGTAAGTAACATTCGTTTACTCCACTGGAAAATACGTTCAGAGTAATATAAACATATTCTACTTATGTAGGCTGCTATTTCTCTTATTATGAAATTTTATTCATCTGAATTTATTCGCGTAGAATAAATACTATCGATTTCACCTTGAAATCATTGCTCAAAATCTGGGTTACTTTTTTTGTTTATTAGCATTGTACGTGTAAACATTTTGAATGAATTAGTAGTAGTAGAATGTTATATATGTGTTTATACGATACAAAATTAATTGTTTTTAAATATATATTATGTATTTGATGAATTATTGATTTCCATAAAACATACGTGAACATTTGCTTCTCTTATTACCATTAGTGACATTAATGTATGTTATTATTCATTTATACTTACTTTATTTACACAGGCTAATCCCAAATTACAAAAATGAGTCTTATCGAAGGGGTTGGAGATGAAGTTACAAATTTTTTTATTATTGTGGTCGCCCTCTTAGTAGGGTGGCTTGCCTGGTGTTCTACAAGTATTGCAGATCAACCATTAATACGCACAGTACTTATATTGCAACATCGAACACGCACACGTATTGCTGAACTTCGAGCTAATCAAACTACTAGCTCTTTCAGTCGACCACCAAATTTGGAGATGTCGGAAGAAGAATCTGTACAACCAGTTACAGATGACAATAATGATACTTCACAAAATTGTCCAGAATCACCTGTCACAGGTAATATTTTCTATTATTTAAGAACGGTTTTATGCTAAAATAACAGAGATATTAGAATCATTAGTTTTCTACTGTAACAGACACAAATGGAAGAACTTCTCCAGAAACACACAGAACACCTGAAACGGCAGCTACGGAAGAAGTACTTATCGAAGCAATGGATTCATTTAATAATGATAATGCAACTTTATTGCAAAGACAAACCAAAATAAATACTTCCAAGAAAACAAGTATATCAGAGTCATGTACTGAGTCCATAGAAGCTATACCACATGAAGCTGAAAATCTTTCAGAAAGCACTGCTAATGAAATTAATATTAAACTTAAGTTCATAAATGATGATCAAAAAGTTGTTACTGGTAGCCTTAAAGAGCTGCTTGGAGACTTTAAAAGGTCAATACTAATTAATATATATGTATAGTATGTTAGGCATAAATTTATAAAACAAATAATTCTTATATTTTTGTAGGAGGCATTTTCAAATAGAACTTGACGCCCAAAAATTGGTGAGATTAGTATTTAATGGCCGAGTGTTACAGCCTGATAGTCAAACATTGGAAAAATGTGGCTTGTATAACAATTGTGTAGTTCATTGCTTAGTACATCAACCACGACCAAATCCTGTACCATCGCAAACATCGACATTAGACAATTCATCGTCAATCTATTTTAATCCTCAATCATTCTCTGATATACCTACTGGCACAGGAATTAGTTCAGTGCATAACGAGTGGGATTTGAATAGACTTATGTTGAGTTTTATGACACTTACGTTAGGTCTTGCTTGGTATTCACGATACCACTACGCGCAACTGTTTTCCGCAACTACTACAATTGCATTATATGCACTCACTGCAATCTTTGCAATTTCATTAGTTACTAACTTCTTTCCTCATGAAGATAATATCAGAAATATTGAATGAATTTACAGCAATAAAGTACTTTATGAAGTTACACTTTAAAATATTAATATATAACTCATTTTGAAATCATTAGAACACATTTCATGTTTGTGAGGCAAACAGCATGAAGAATATAATTTTTATCACTGTATAAAACAAGTTATGTATGTAAAAAGTAAAGTGTAGCTAAGTCATAGAATTGCATTTCAATTGTTATGAACATATATTGAGCTCAAAATTTTTATTTGTGCGTGTAGAAAGCAAGTTTTTCTCGGTTACCATAATTAAAGAAAATACATATATAATGTGACGTCAAATTTATATTAAAATACTTATTCGTTTAAATATATTTGTGATAAATATTATTGATTTGTTGAATTATTAGATAATAAATATTATAAACAACAGTTGCAATGGTGCTGCATTACATTATTTTCAACAACTGATTTGTTATATGTACACGTTTTAAATATTTAGTTAGCTTAGATGAATATATATAATTCAGTTTATTTTTATAATTTTCAAATTAATGCGTGAACATAATGAATTAGAATTAGTTTCTTAAGCACCATTACATTAATTGCTATAAAAATAAATGAAAGTTGTCGAAAATGTATATATATATTTATAGAATTCGTAAGGTATTATATGATCGTAATTGTAATTTATTAGAAGATATACTTTATATTCCAAACAAACACGTTTCATTACTATTTTTGATTCATCATTACGTTAAATCCGTAATATACTGTATTATAATAGCTTGTAGAAATACTGAATTACGATGGAATGTGAAATAAACGGCTATTTATTCGATGTTTTTCTGTATTGACGTATTCTAATTTAGAAGCGATTTAATGTTAATAAAACATTTTTTATCTAAACTTCGAGAAAGTGGAAAATGAGTTTAGCGGGATAAAAATATGTTTAAATATTGTACAATTCGTGATAACATTTATTACTATTTAATTATATAAAAAGTTTGCAATTACATACTCTTCTTTTATAGAAAATTTTATTAATGACTTATAAAGTCTTTCATATAAAATAAATATTGTGAATAAAGTCGTCACGCCAAAATTTACATTTGGAGACGATTTATAATTTATAGAATACTTCGTACAACCCTTTAATTTAAATTACAAGAAACTTAATTTCGATGTATACGAATAAAAAGAAATAAATAACGAATGAAAAGTCATTTCTTAAATAGAAGTTAATTTAATTGTAAAGTTTTCCCACACAATCCACTAAGTATTTTAGGTAAAGGCTCAGAAATATTTGTCTTCTTAAAGAAAAGATTTAATCGATGTTTTAACATTGAATTGTCTATATTAAAATTTCCTTCTGGGTTTTCTAGCAGAATAGTACCTTTTCCTGAAGTACCATTGATATTAACGTATTTACAGACTGGATATTTTAATACTGAAGTCGACTGAATTTTATTTGCATCAGCTTTTGTTACTTGAATTGTTTGCTTATGTAACGATAAAATATCGAATTCCTTTAACACTATTTTATTATTGACATACAAGTCATAAGAACAATTATAAATACCAAATATCAATTCGATTTCGTTTCTTAACTGTTCGTATGAGATAGGAACTAAAGATTTAGGAGTTTCTAACAAAACAGTTCCTAAGCAGCCGGTTGCTCCAAATCTTGGTCTCATACCTAGAAGTTCAAGATTTACATATTTCAACAAAGGCTCTTCATGTGGTTTGTTATTATCGTTTTGAAATATTTGTCCTTTTACTAATACAAGTTTCATATTAACGCCTTTAATTGTTTGCATTTCTTCTATAATTATATTTGCATTTTCCGATAATTTTGACATGTCCTCCTGTGGAGTTTTAGTTGCATTTTCAATAAAATCTTTGTGACTGATAATTACTTTTGCTAAATTACTATCTTGATTTCCTATTTCATAATATACAACTGCTTCATCTGATGGAACCAACTGAGCTTTCTTTCGCAGTTTTTGAACCCTATTAATTACTTCTCTTGCCACACCTTCATTATGCATACTTTCATCAGGAGTAACATCCAATAAAATTAAAATATTTCCCCCACTATGTGCTTCATACTGTTCAGATAATTGCTCAGCTGCTGGCCCAGTGAAACTAAACATCAACCGTAAGTCTTGCTCACCTAACTTATGACCTAGAACAGTAATTTCTTTTGTTGCAACAAATGTTTGTAATTGTACATCAGAAAGCTCTTTAATAGCTTGAGTAATGGACTTAAATTCTCCTTTAAGACGTGATCCAAGTACTTTATGATCGGGTTCTGCTCTTAATTTAACACCATACTTCTCTTTATCAGTAGTTACTGTTAATTCCTTTACATTAAGTTCTTCAAGAATGTATGATTTTAAAGAAGTTATATCATTCAATACTTCAGCATCCTGATGAATTATTACAACTTCCGGTAATGGATATTTGACAGGAATTGTTTTTCTATCTCGTATGACGCGTCCTAATTCTATCACGGTTTGCATATAAAATACAGCTTTCTCAATCTTTTCATCAATTAATTCCAAACAAGGTTGTGGGATCATTTGATAATGAACACTGTCCATATTAATCTTAGACTGTGGAAGTATTTTCACTAAATATTTGAACATAAACTCTGTTAAAAATGGTGTGAATGGAGCATTAACACGAACCATTGTATAAAGAACACAAAATAAAGTGTTCAATGCTTGTTGACAATCAGTCACGCCGCTATCACCTTTTATACGTTTTCTGTTCATTCTTACATACCAATTAGTAAGATTGTCTATGTATTTCACTAGATGAGGTACTACTGTGTATAATCTGTATGCTTGCATTTCATCTTTAACAAATTGCAATAGTGTTTGAGTAAAAGACAAAATCCATCTATCCATGATATTATTAGAAGACACATCTTTAGAATTGTCATATATAAAAATAGTTTTCTCTTCTCTTTCAAACCTTTCAATGTTTTGCATTAAAAATCTAAAGGCATTATACCAAGGTAAGAATACATCCTTTATAACATCCCTTACACCTTCTTCTTTAAATCGTAAATTTTCCGCTCTTACAACAGGAGAATTAATTAAGTACAAACGAAGAGCATCAGCTCCGTATTTGTTAACAATTTCTATGGGATCTGGATAATTCTTTTTGCGCTTGGACATCTTTTGCCCATCAGATGCTAGTATTAAACCATTGGCAACAAGATTTTTAAATGGAGCTTTTCCAAAAAGAGCAGTAGATATAACTAAAAGGGTATAAAACCAACCGCGAGTTTGATCAATACCTTCTCCAATAAAATCAGCTGGAAAACTCTCCTCAAATTCTTTTCGATTCTCAAAAGGGTAATGCATTTGTGCATATGGCATAGAACCTGATTCAAACCAACAATCAAATACTTCGGGTACACGTCGCAACGGTGGATATCCTGGTCGTCTGGATGGTATAGTTAAATCATCTATACTTTCTCTATGAATATCTGTTATTTTCGTATTAGTTAATTCTTCCAATTCTGCAATACTTCCTATGCATACTATTTCTTGTCCATCTTCTGAGATCCATAATGGAATTGGATTACCCCAATAACGATTTCTACTAATAGCCCAATCACGAGCATCTCTCAACCAATTACCAAATCGTTTATCTTTTACATATTCTGGTACCCAATAAGTGGTACTATTTGCTGCTATAAGTTTTTCTTTTATAGCTTCTACTCTGACAAACCATGAAGGTACTGCTTTATAAATTAACGGAGTATCAGATCTCCAACAATATGGATAACTATGTTTGACAGTACTGTTATGAATTAATCTTTTATTCGCTTGTAAATATTTGATAATATCTTTATCAGCATCTTTTACATATTTTCCAATAAAATCATGAACCGGTTCTATGAAACGACCACAACTATCAATTGGACATACAATTTCTTGATCTTTTGTTATAACACCAGCTTCTAAACAACACCGGTAATCGTCCTCTCCAAAATAAGGTGCTTGATGAACAATACCTGTACCAGTCTCTGCAGTAACATATGTGTCATTTAATACGATAAAAGCACCTTTATCTCTTAAACTTTCAAAATAAGGAAAAGGAGGTTTATATATTTTTCCTTTCAAATCAGAACCTTTTCTTTTACCTTGTATAGTATACACATCTTTAGATTTGTATAGAAGTTCTAAACTTGATTCCAATATAATGTAAACATTATTAGAAAAATGATCTTTAACTTCTACATATTCATAATTAGGATTACAGCAAAGAGCCATGTTGCTAGGTAAGGTCCAAGGTGTAGTAGTCCATGCTAGAATTGAAACATTTGGTTCATCAACTAGTGGAAATGCCACAACTACAGAAGGATCAACAACATCTTTGTAATTTTGCCCTGATTCAAAATTAGACAGCGGTGTATTACAACCAGTAGAAAAAGGCATTACTTTAACACCTTGATACACAAGGCTTTTGTTATATAATTCTTTGAAAATCCACCAAATAGATTCCATGTACCAAGGATATAATGTTTTGTAATCATTTTTGAAATCTATCCACCTGCCGATTCTGCTCACTATTATTTCCCATTCTGTGGCATATTTCATTACGATGCTTCTACATTCTTTATTATAATTTGCTATGCCCATTTTAGCAACATCATCGGGACCTTTTATATTCAAACTTTTGTCTATTTCGTATTCGACTGGTAAACCGTGAGTATCCCAACCAAATCTTCTTTCCACGTGATAACCAGATTGATGAGCATACCTTGTTATAATGTCTTTTATTGTGCCTGCAAGTATGTGTCCATAGTGAGGTAAACCGGTTGCAAAAGGTGGACCGTCGTAAAATGAATATTTTGGTTTTCCTTTTGATTGCTTCAAACAATTTTCAAAAATATCCAATTTCTTCCATAATTCCAAAATAATTTCCTCCTCCTTTGGAAAATTAATCGTTTCTGGCAATTTTTCTTTCATTTTTAAAAGATTTTATGAATAACTTTGCGAAATATTTGATACCAGCTGGTATACTAACGTAATTATCAAATTTAAAGTACTGTGCATCAAAGACACGGTAGCGAATTACACGTAACTTACTTCTGAGGTTAGGATTATAAATTGATGCACGTGTTTCTAAAAAGGTGAATGCAATGTTCCAATTGAGAACCTCTAATAATTTGTATCACTTGAACTTGAATAATATATATACATACATTATATAAATATGTATAAATATATAAGCATGTAATACATGTTTTTCACATTTAATAAACTGTAGGAACAAAGGAAACAATTATTTTTATTATAACTTTATTAATAGTGAAATATTATTACATCATTCAAGCGAAATTAAATATATTTATATACATAGAAATCATAATAGATTAATAAATAAGCATGATTGCACGTTTTTTTTTAGCAACAACTTCATTTTATTTTGAGTACAATTTATAAATAATAATATAAATATATACAAAATTACATAATATATACTTTAATAATTGAATTATTTTATAAAACTTATGTGTACACTATGATTGATTTAATACAATTTTATTTTGAATTATATATTAAAACCTTTTATTGTATACAAAATAAATGGAAAATAGATAAAAATTAAAAAAATTCGTGACTAGAAGTTCCATTATAACTAACGCCTTCGTACACAATATACATATACATATATATATATATCTACGATTGTTGCGTAATTTGTGGTATCCTTTGTCGTTGTCCACCTATATAAATAACTTGTCTCTGTTCATCAGGATGAATGAGTTCATCTGTATGTTTCCAACGCCATTTTTTTTCACTTTCTTTAATACGCCTATGGTCAATATAACTAATAACGCAACTTGTTGGAATCCATACAATGGCTGTAATAATTATTACTGCCCCAACTATGTTATCTTTCAAAAATCGCATGACTTTGTTAATATTTATATCCTCGATAATATCCCAAAATCTTTCAACCACATCCTGAATTGTTTTCTCGCAAACGCCCTTTAAATATTTAAAAATTTTTAAATTTGTATATAAAATATGCTATAAATTATCTTTGAAAAATATTACCTTATTGCAAAAACCTTGAATACATGGTGTTCCATCTGGTAAAATATCCTGTGGATCTATCGGAAAACATGTTTCATTTAAACTCATTCTACAGCATCTTTTACATGCGTCTCCAACTACGAAGTAAAATTCATCATAAAGATATATTATTTTCTACATATATTAAGTATAAAATATGAAATCCATACTTGTATCACACATGCAACTTTGCAGACCCTGTGTTTCACAATATGGTACACATTTCCCAAGTCTACATTGACCTCTCTCAAGGCATCCTGTACCATCTTTCATTGGAGGAGATCTAGGACACTCGCTAGAAGCTCCTGTACAACGAGATTCTTGCTCACAAGTAGCATATTGAGCATCTCTGCATTTTACACCTATTTGCATAAATGCACAGCCTTGACAGCAAGGTGAATTCTTATCACTGAAAAATACATTTTATTAAATATGATTTATTAAAAAGAATCAATAAAAATTCTAATAACAAATTATTACCTGCAAACTGCTCCTTGACTTCTACGAAGTTTACAATTTTTATCACAACATGCATCATTATCTTCGGTACCCAGTAATCCCGCGTCGCATTCTTCGTCTCCTTCGACTCGTAAATTACCGCAAAATGATTCTTCTGGTTCAGAAAAACAGCGACCAGACTTTGCTTGTAATACTTTTCTGATAGATCTTAAACTACATGGTGAAAAACGCTAATGTATAAATAATTAGTAATCAATACCTTCATACTGTATGAAATACATTATATTATTTTAATATTAATTAAATGTACCTTATTATTCACATCATATCCGCTAACGCTATATGTATACATTAAATATGAACCTCCTTGACTAGCACTTGGACTGCATTCCTGTTAAGAGATACTATTTGTTTAAAATATAATAAATGTGACAAGAAATGCGAGTTCATAAAAGTTGAAGAAATTACTGTTATATCTGGATCATGTTCAGAACCCCAATTATGTCCAAATTCATGTGCAGTGACTAAATCAGCTTCTCTCGTAATTACTCTTTGTCCATAATGATTTCTACTAGAACTTAAACCTGAGTTAAGATATAAAGTATAACCATTCTTGAAATACTCTAAAATGTAAAAGTATTAAATAAGATATCATTAAATGTAATTCGCATATTAATTAAATATTTATTGAAGGTTCAGATGTACCTGGTGTACAAATGCCACCTACTGAATTTCTACGAGGAGAGCCGACATATGCTAGTCCTAATATGCCACCTTCGAATTTGAGATCAGTAAATAAATGAGCTAAACAAAAATCCTTATGACTGTATTCACGACTGAAAACCTAAAGATTAGTTATATATATTGTATATAATCTCAAAATACACTTAATTTAAAAAACGGATTTGTGTAAAATGAAAGAATAGAAATTCAATTTTACCTCGAGCAAAGTGCGCACATCCCACTTTTCTCTAACCATATTATAGTGAGTTTCACCGCCTCTTACACGAGTTGGTTCACTATGGACTACAATTTTCTTAATAACAAAACCCATTCCTTTAAATCCATCTTGTTCTTGTCGTTCTTGCCATAAAGTATCGTTATAAATTTTATGTACTCTGTCAATTAAACTTATCTGTAAAATATAAGCAATATGTTTTGAAAATCATCTGAGTAAAATCATAATATTTTACATTAATCAATGTAGTCACTTACTAAATAATTAATTGTAGTTTTTGTACTACTAGCACCCATTTCTTGATAAAAACGGTAATCGGCAACCAGTAATAAGGGACATCTTGTTTTTGTTGGAGTGTACTCATAAGTTTCAGTTTGTCTTTTTGCTCTAGAATGTTCATCTGATTCGAAATTAAATTCTTCTTCATCATCTACTGGAATATCTGTAATTTAGATGTTGTATAAAGGCACCTTAATATTTAATAAAATCATTCGTTTGAAATAACAACTAACTCAATTCTTCTTTCACGTATCCACAAGTTTTAGGTGCCCCATGTGTATGGCCTTCGCCATTTTCAAAATGTTCCCAACTAAGTTTAACATCTGACGACTTATAAACAATCATTGTTTCATTACCCAAGTGAGGTAAATGTCTCCAAGATGGCTGAAAAATGCAACAAATTCATGTGAATTATGTCATGTAAAAATTTTTTACTTAAAAAATTATATACCTCAATATGAAATGTTTCATCAGAAATTGTAATGCTGGCTGTAAGAACTCCATTATCAATATGTACTTGTGCATGAGAATCTATTTCCCCAAATACGCGTCCATGATAAAAGCTTTCATGATCTTATAAAAAAAGTCATTTTAAAATAAATATATAATGTAAAAAATATATTTCTAAATAATAATGTATTGTTTTACCTAAATGCACACTTTTTTCTTCTCCATTACCATTTACTTCATATGCTTTAAATTTAGAATGAATAACTTCCCTTCTTGGTGTTAAAATTAAACGAAAATACCTATCAAAAATATAATATGTGTATTATTTACAATAAACAATAACTATTTGTAAGTGATAATAATATGCTAAATTACCGTCCATGAGAATAAAATTCCAATTCGTTTATTTTATTGTAAGGATGATAGCTATGTTGAACACCTCGTTTTACAATTTTATGTTGGAAATGAGTTGAATGAATAGTTTCATAATACTTTAAATTCCTGTGGAGACCATCTACAAAAATGAATCCAACAATATAAAATAACAAATGAAATGTTAATATATAATACAAACTACTAAATATGTAATGTAATATACATACAAGTGATTTGTACAGTAACAAATATATAGTATATTAATAGTGTATTTCGAATTTCCATACTTGTTAGAAATGTTCTATATCAAATTACTATTTATTACTGTATTCTGTGAATTATATTTCATATTATGAGCATTTTTTATTTTTTAATCCAAATTTTATATGAACTGACGAAGGTTAATCTAGAGTTGTTATTACATTCCTCTAGGTTAATGGGGTAGTGTAAACTTTTTCTCTGTCAACATACAACACATAGAAACATTGCCTTATTTTAAAGCACATGCACAATAATGATCAAATATAATTTTAATTAAATTTACGTATATAAAATGTTCAATTAGATAAAACTAATAGTCTCATAGAATAAGTACAATTTTTCAACAAATTAATGAAAATATTATATGGCCGAAATATTATTTTCTTTGAAAATTTGACAATTATTATGTGTAGGTATAACATAATGTATTCTATACATATATATATAGTTAGAATTAATTGTGTTGGTAAATTGTGTTATCATTAAAAATTTGGTAGATATTTTTTAAAAATATTTGTAAACACTCTTTAATATAATATTGTTTATGACAACGTATACATTAGAATTGAAGCGAAGTTTTTTACAGATGCCGCAGTTAAAACAGTTGGAAGTGATGTTTGGTACCCTCACGTTCTCTAGAATGTGCTAGAATTTTTTTTGAGACGTATTTAATATAAGTATTATAACTAAATGCGTACTAGTCATTTACAAACATCGCAGTAGTTCAAGAAGCTGCAGTATATAATTGGAACTTGTGTATGATTTTGTCCGTTTAAATTAAAATAAAACGATAAAAGAAATGTCACATGAAACAACTTTGTTACATTGTTATAATCGTGGTTGTGGTAAGAAGTTTGATCCGAATGATAATAAAGAAGGTATGCAGTTTATTATTTCTCTAGGAATAGTAAAAACAACCTAAAATTATTCATCTGTTTGATAATTAAACATTTTATATATCACATAAAAATTCGTTTTATCTGTATTTATTTTAGGAGATTGCATTCATCACCCTGGTCATCCGGTATTTCATGATGCTTATAAAGGCTGGTCCTGTTGTAACAAAAAATGTACAGATTTCACAGAATTCTTGAATATCAAAGGATGTACAAAATCTTGTCACTCAAATGTCAAACCACCTGAGCCAGAGAAACCTGCTGTTGACAAATCGAAGACTAACGAAATAATTGAAGTAACTGCTCAGCCTCTCAATAATGGACCTGTGTTGGAAAGGCCTCCTTTTGATGCTCCACAAGTTACATTAAAACCTACTGTGTCACCTACATTATTAGAACAAATTAAAGGATTAACTTCTTCTATATCAGAAATTCTACCACAAACAAAAGTTCAAATTGGACAAAGCTGTAAAAACAATGCATGTAAAGCTACGTACAATGGCCCAGCATCTGATGATGAAGTGTGCAATCATCATCCTGGTATTCCTATTTTTCATGAAGGAATGAAATATTGGTCTTGTTGTCAAAAGAAAACTACAGACTTTTCCACATTCTTAGAACAACCAGGATGTTTGCAAGGAAAACATAAATGGATTTCTGAGGTATACTAAAAATTGATATTATTTACTCACTTAGATGTTAATATATTTTAATAAGAAATATTTAACAGTCTAAATATTGTTTTAAACATTGTTTTAAAAACAAAACAATAATTATGTTTCAGAATACTGGTAAAAAAGTTAACTGTAGAATGGATTGGCATCAAACTGGAACATTGATTGTAGTTTCTATTTATGCAAAGAAATACCAGCCAGACCAATCAACTATTAAATTAAATCCTATACGTTTAACTGTGGATCTATATTTTATTGAAGAAAACTCTAGATATAATCTCGATTTAGAACTTAGAGGAGTACGTATCAAATTTTTGAATTTAGTCTGTATTGAGTAAATTTTAGACATTCATAATATTTATAAAATTTATTTCTGCAGGTTGTTGATATTACACAAAGCAGTGTAAATATGCTTCCAACTAAAGTAGAAATTAAATTAAAAAAAGCTGAATCTGGATCATGGGCAAAATTAAATATTCCTAGAACAAACGAGATAGAAACAGAAGAAAATGACAAAACTGATGAAAACATTAGCGCACAAGTTGAAGCAGTTGATCTTAGCGATCTTTAAGTGTTCATATTTAATTATTTTATTATAAATATTATAAAACATGAATATATTATCTATTTAAAGATGATACTTTCATTTGAAGGTACAAAGAAATATTATTTTCTTAATGTTATCGGATTTATTTCCGAGAAAAGTGGGGATACTTAGTATTCGCTTTGTTATTTTCATAAGAAAAACTAAAAAGTCTATCATTAAATTTTGATATTTAAAAACAGTATTGAGTTTTCAATACATTTCAGGTTTTATTTATGATTTATTTAATCGTAATAAATCATTTTGAGCTGAAATTGTGTCTTGATTTATATAATAATAGACCTTGTTTATATTTGACGAACGAATCAAATACAAATCTGGTTGACCTGAGAGAAACGTCTAAAGGTCAGAGATCTCATTGAAACCTTTGAATTAGGTGTTATGCCTACTTCGTAAAAATTGACGAATTTTGAAACTGTAGTAACTTTCTTTCCTTGTTTGCCATTTTCTTTAGAAAGACTAGAGTGCCTATATGTGCACGTAATAATCAAAACTGTGTTAAACTAAACTTAACCTATACATGGTTATCGTTTTAACCTAGTTTCATTGTTGTTTTTGATTTATTGCGAGTTGCAGTAAATTATGCAAACATGCGTTTATACGAATAAACTCAATTAGAAATTAGTGCAACTTGCAACTTCTATAAAAATAAGCCAATGTTCTTTATTTACTTAGTTTTGTAATTTATTTAAACACATATATAATAAAGTCTCGATATAAGTGTCCCAAATTATGTTGTGTTTAGGATCACTTTTAGTAAAAAAATGTAAAAAATTTGTTGGTAACATCCTTCTAACAAAACAGTCAAAAATAAAAATGTCCTATAATTGTATTATCTCATGAATATACTCCACCAGAATCACCTTACATTTTTCAAGTAGTGATCTTTCTTCAATGGTGGGGATAATTTTCTCAGTTATATCGGTGTGTTCAATATTTTCGTTTATATTCAAGTTTTACTACACAGTTCTGTAGCAATAATTTCCGCTTATTAATATAAAAATAATTTATTTGTATACTAGTATGAATAAGACACCTCAAAAATTACGAGTAATAAATTTTTTGTCACTAATATTTATGTTACATACAAATATCTATCATGAAATATAAATACAAATCAATATATTATTTTAGATACTTGCTCTTCATGGATATGCTCAATCGGATATTACTTTTAAATCAAAATTAGGTTCTTTGAGAAAAGGATTTAAAAGAGAAATTGAATTTACATTTTTAAGAGCACCGCATAAAGTTTCAATGCAAAAGAATTTTGGCATTGATGAAACAGAGGAAGGTATTATGTTTGTTACTTGAAAATTGAAAATTTAATATATATTTCTATGTAATGATATTACATAAATATACAATGAATTTAGTATTAAGAAGTAATAAACACTATATCTTGTAGGATATGGATGGTGGTTTAATACAGAAGATCATATATTTAAAGCAACTATTCCAAGCAATTTATCTGTAGGTTTTGAAGATAGTATAGCTGTAATTGAAAAGATATTTCAAGAGTCTGGTCCTTTCGATGGCATTTTAGGCTTTTCACAGGGTGCAGCATTTGCAGTTATACTGTGTTTTATGCAACAAAAAAATCGTAAATAATTAATTTAATACTTATGAATTATACAACAATTTTAATTTAATATAGGTATTTATATAATCACTTGTTCCAGTGTTACAAATCAAATTTGATTTCGCAATTATTATATCTGGATTCAAGTCATTATGTAAACCTCATACAATGTATTATGATGGAAAAATAAGTATACCTTCATTACACATATATGGAGAAACTGATCAAGTTATTCCAGCAGGTTAGATAACCTTTAATCTTTTAATAAAAATTAAACTACAGTTTAGTGTACCTTTCTTTTTTATAGAATCAGCGAAAGAAATTAATGAAATGTTTATAAATAAAGTAACATTAACTCATATAGGCGGGCATTATGTACCAAGCAAAAAGGATTATTATAAGGAATTTATTACGGACATGACATTACAAAAAAACAGAAGGGACAATTAACTGTAAGTTGTGTTCTACATTTGATACTTAATGTATGACATAACAGAAGTAAACACAATAAATAGGCTGTACTGACTACAAAATGTAATTCACATAAAAAAATGTAAAAAATTATAATTAACATTGAGAAATATTAGTAAATTTATTCAAATCAACTGTAAATAAACATCATACAATATCCATTAAAAATAACTTTCATTAACAATTTACATTAAAATTTTTATATGGCAACCAAGATATGACTTGATAACATAATAAATTAGGAGAAATTTGTACATGATTATTTACCTTGTTAAACAGGTATTGTACAATTAAAAATTGTTTAACTGTTCTCTTCTATAAAAGGCACTACTGATATTAAACATTAAAAATTGAACAACTTAAATTATGTTTTGAAAATATACTAGCTTAATTTTTTTTTTGCCGATATAATACAACATATTAATTATTTAGATCAAATATGTGGTTCATAAGTATTTTGTACCAAATGAAATGTATTTTATGTATAGCAAGTTAAATTTTTAAATAGATTTTAACTCCGTTCGTTTATACGTATCATGCATAATTATTTCCAGCTTTATGATATGGAAATTTATTATATAATATTATTATGTATTTATAAATATTATTGATATTAGATTTCTTAAACTCCTTTAGTAAAGCTTACGTTCAACTTTGTTTAATAAAATCAGGGATATTATATTTTTATCTATATAATACAATATAGATATATGTATTACGGTGAAATTTTAAGTTTTAAAATTGTCAACTTAATTTAAGCAATTTATATCTGTATAATACATTACATTTTTTAATGATGATACTAAAACACATTCAAGAGTATTTGTTATATCAAGTACTGTATGGATACAATTAATGTTCTTGTCAACTGTATGCCACTTTTAAATGTATGACTACATACAATAAATATATGGGTTATTTTTCGAATACAAATTAATGCATACATAAATAAAATTCTTAACAAGGTGTTATAGTATGAAAAATATGATGAACAGAAATGTTATATTTTATACTTAAAATCATATGCCTGGTATAATATAGCAGTCAATTTGTTAAAATTACGTATACTATTTATAATTTATCACATTCTCAAATTTCTATTTGGTAACAATAAAACCTAATGTTCACAGTTTTTACAAACAGTACTGTTTAATTTTGCATATTAAATAATAAATGAAACGTGTATATTTTACAAAATTTGAGGCATTAATGCCTCACTTGCATACTTCAAGTTTAATAAAATAACCGAAATAAAAGATAAATAAACCGAAAATATTACAAAACACTGTAAGATAAGATACAAGCTATAATCATAAATTATACGTGACTGAGGTATTTGGTCATCTTAGCATTAATAACAAAGTGTTGAAATATTTTAGTACCTATTAGAGATTATAATAAATTTAACTGATGTACTGGATCATAAGCTTCATGTTTTATTATCCCTTTCAGTCAAATATCCAAGTACAAATAGTAGTTGTTCATCACTCGCAAAAAAGGAGAACAAAAATCAGGGAATGAGCAGTTACTTAACATTCTCCTTAAGAAAGTTAAAAAAGTTTTTGAGATTTTTAATATTCATATAAACTTGTATGTATCTAGTATTCACATTATGTTTGTTTAAACTGTGTCAGCCTTTTTAAAAATATCTGACAATTATAAAATTGAGTTGAATTCAACACCTTATCATCAGCTTCTTCACAATAGTAACATTATTTCAAGGCGACTATTCTTGGCTATTGGATTCTTGAGATTTCATGACATCTGGTAGGTCAGGTGGCAATGAAAATGGTGTCATCTCTAAAGTTTCAAATTGACCATTTTCTTGGCGAACAGCTAATCCTACTAATGCAGGACACTGTGCTTTGGCAGTTGCTGATGTTAATCCATAATCAGATAAAAATTTACTGTCTGACATTACAACATTATCTTTGTTGAACAGCTGCTGATTTACAGGTGGTATTTTTAATATACCTATGAAACAATTATACCTTTAACCTAATTTTTTTGTATATATTTTATAAATAGTTGCAATATTGTATAAAAATGAGCGAAACACGAAAATAATAAAAATTAATTGGCGATTCTCTTTTGAACTGTAATGTTATAGATGTAATTTCTGATTTTAATTTATGTGCACGTAAATTATGTTTTTTTTACCTTCTATAATTTTCTTAAGTTCAAGAACTGTGGTATTATCTTTTGCGTCAGTAAATATCGTCATATTTTTTCGTCGAATCATTAGAAATACATCCTATAAAGAGGATCATGATTGTATTTATTTGAGGTTATTTTTGTTAGGAGCGTCTTAAACGAATATTACAAGGAATAGATAAATACGAACAAAAACTTACCATTATGTACTTTACTATATATTTATTATCGAAAAGGATAATTAATCTACAGTGTTTCTACAATCCTGTTTTATTGACTATTGTTCACTTATAAATCCTCAGGTTAAAGGCAAAAGAATAAAGTAGACATTTACCGACATGATAACCACATAAAACACGTTATTTGATTGGTGCTTCTTTTCAAACGCAAACTATGTTTGGCTCATTGTTTGTTTTTTGGACCAATCACAAATTACATTTAACTTCATGTTAAATTACAAATCCTTAAATCAGAGATAGGATTATTTGAATATTGTTTATATACCTATCAATACATTAATTTAATAAATGGAGTTCAAATATAGTAACTTATCAATTTATATAATAACCGCGATCGATACAGTGACTAATATTTATTATCAAAATTATTTATCGTGGTATACAAAATTGTATTACAAAACAATATAAGTGGAATAAATACTATATTTATATTTTACTAACGATATTAATAATAATGTTATTGAATATGTCACGTTTATGTAACAGGTGTTCACCTGTTAAGGAAACAAATAATAATAATTCCAAAATATATGTATGGTATGGAGTAAAGACGAATATAAATGGAAAAACCTCGCATCGTTCACATGCGATTTTATTGGATGAAATATGTGAACTTGATAGATTTCAAATTTCTAGATTTATAAATTTCTAAATTTTCAAATCCACAGATTGTCAGATCCGTTAAATTCTAAATTAAAAAATGTATAAACTAAAAACCAACAAGTGGAGAACCTCTTCTTTCTATGCGAGACTAGTTTCCCTAAGGAACCGTATAGTCTATCATGCTTGTCGATGTATTTATATTCAGGTTGAACGCAGACTGGTTACATTTCTAAAGTTTGCAAAAAGTTGGACGATATCAAGCCAGTAACATTGAAAACGGTGATTATGCATGTCTAATAGTTTCCAAGGGGAGGTCCTTGGCCTTAGAGACGCAACGGTGTAGGACGTACGTGAATGAATCTCCTTTCCGCAGTGACGTCATTGGTAGCTATTAGTTCATCGAGTACTCGATGGTAAAAGCGCGATCTATGAAGGTGCGCACGCGCCTTTCAAAATGACCTGCGCGACGCTCAGACTCGTCAGCAGCGACTCGACGAAAGCTCTGTCGCTATTCTTTCGATCATAATTCGATTTCTTCCGAGACTAGTCGAGATGCGACCGCGGTATACATCCGTGGAACATTTCTGCAGGAAAATTGAACGGCTACGAAATCGCAATAACATTTAACGAGAGGGTCGCCGTGAAAAGCGAACAAAAGTTCGTCCCAGTATGTTCCGGTGTGCTGTGTGGATGGTATGGTGATCGAAACTTCGAATAACGCATTGCGTTATTTTTTCGAGAATAAGAAGATCCTGGAAGGTCTTCGTCGAGTTACGCTGACGTTATTCGTCATTTCTATGTGTTTAAGCATTTCGTTTCCGATTGATCGATAATCGTGAATTAGGTCGCCCACGAGTCGCGCCCCGAAGAGTGGAAACACGTATAAAAATCGTGAGGGTGAAAGAAAAATCTTTTAGTTGGTGTTCGAACGATCACCGGCTAACACGTTCGACGGTTGTTATAAGTCTTGAGCGACGGTGACGTATATGATGAAATTACAGCTGCTTGTAATCGAAACGGATTACTGCTGGAGGAAAGCGTTGCTTAGGTAAGCAAGTGATCGCGGATTTTTACCAAGCCACTTATGCCTTTAACACTTGTCTGTAGAGTTAAGCTGATTTAGTGGTATTTTTTATAAGTAGCGTATCACGTAGAAATCAAAATATTTAAACTCTTAAACCGTTCAATTCCCATTCAAAGATATAATAAATCAAATATTACCATATAATTGTTCTACTAACAATGTCAGAAAACGAATCATTTTTCATCATTTTCAATCGTCTTCGACAGATTTTGATTGTAACAGATATCCGTTCCATTTTTTGCATTTAAATACATTTTTGTAAAGATAGAATGATTTTGGTGTCTTTTTCTAAGCATGCTTTTCATAACTTTTGTGATAGTTATAATAGTTTTCAAAAATAGTTTTCAAATGTTATCGTTGAACCGACATGTTACTTTCATTATATTTCCGAATTGTTTAAATATGCCGCCAAACGTTGCGTCGATAATAGCAAGCGATTAGCAGCAGTCGGTAATAAACGTCAATTGACTACGACGATCGCCGTTACGTGCGTGTTGCTCGAAAAAATTTTTGACCCATACGAGAAGAAATTGTGACGATGATTCAGAACAGTTTGAGTTTCTTAGTTTATTCCTTTGGTCCTTGTTCTTCTCCTTCGTACCCCTTTAACTGACGCCATCTTCAATTTTGTTTTCTTTTTTTTTTTGTTCAAGTGTCACTGTAACTGTACGATACAGTGGATCTCGTAAAAATGTTGTGAATACAAACAGTGAGTGCGTTGAATGAAAAACGAACGGTGCATCGTCTAAATTGAAATGATACAGTGGTCGCGATATGAGTTTGCGTCGTAGATCTAATCTTCAAGCATCCCTGAAAGATTACAAACCAGAAAGGAGTCAATAGCCGTCCAAGTGTCCATGTAAAAGTCATTCAATAGAATTCTTCCTCTTTGAAGTATCGTTGGTTAGTTTATGTGTAGTTTTGATACATGTGTTTCGTCTTTCTTGTTGCACCATAATTGTATTGTTCGATCGAAGAAAATCGAGTCCTCATTTGTTGGTTATGTTTCTCTGTTATAACCGTCTGCCGTAAATCGCACGCTTCCCTAGTACGTTTTTGATTAGTGTTAAAAATTGAAAATATAAGTAGTGATAGTGTACGTAGAAATAAAATGCACAAGTTAAGATTGCCTGTCAAGGTTGAATTGCCCAGTGCTTTAACAAGGTATGGTGATATTTGATCTAGAGTTATTGATATTGTTTTTATTTTAATTTTTTTCCACATTACAATGACTACGTACTAATACAGAGATTCCCAAAGTGTTGGTCCGGATGTTTTGGTGGAACACCAGTTAATTTTTAACAGATCGCGTTAACTTTGAGACTGTAAAATTTCAAAATTTTAAGATTTTTCGAATTTGCGCTTTAAAAATTTGGAAATTTTTAGATTTTAGGATTTCCGGATTTTTAAAAATATTTAAACATTGATTTCGATAGATAAAAGTTTGGGAGGCCCTGTAGTAGTATTTTTTTATATATAATTCGATAACGTTGTAATGGAACGACACGATTTTCTTTTGAATACGTATTCTGTTTAAAAATTCGGCAAGATGTTAAAATAGCTGCGGTAGTTACAATACGATGCCTCCCCGTTGCACTATCGAGACAGTTAAGAATCGAAATTTTTGACATATGATACCGATCCAATAAATCATTTTGTATTAGTTCGAATGTTTTTATGTACTAATTACATGTTTTGTGTATGTATGTGTATGTTTGGTTGTCTTTAAATTTACAGATTTGAATTTTGTATATTTTTGAAGCTATATACGTTATCTAGTAAGCATGAAATCACCGCTTATAGTAAATTATAGTATGAAAATTTACTAAATTGAAGATTTCATTTCATTTCGTCTACGTGTAATTTCATGAAAATATACTTATGTGATTTTCAGCAACGTAATCCGATCGTCTGATATTGTCAACAATTTTTTTGACGATTTCATTCAGATAGAATTACTTTTCTAACGTTGTATGTAAAATGTTTAAGAGTGATTTCAACGTTCCAATCTTTAGCAATTTCAAAAATAATAAACATATGGAATTGTTATCAGTAATGACGTGATTATCGAGTATAATTATACTCGGCAATGTCTGGAGGAACAGCTAATTCGATTATCGCTTCTGAGATAGATTGTCTTTAAAAACTGCTTGACCGGTTGCATCTGTTGCTTTTGATAATGACGACCATCGGATTAAAATTTTTATCACTAAATCTACAATCGGTACGTAAGATCGTAGAAATCACGATGAAAATGTTATTGCGGGTAATCACAATATTTATCTTCATATATGTATATTAAGATACACAGAAACATTACCAGTGTGGATTTTATGCTGAGAAAAGATTTCGGATTGCGGGTTAATAGCCCATATACGCGAGGAGGCGATAATTTTATTATTATCATAACAATTTAAACAAATGCTTGTTCACTGCTAATTGAACTACGGTAGTTGAAATTCCGTCATTCTTATAGATAGCAGCTAACCTTGGCAGCCATAAAAACTAATGCAAACTACAGGACCCTACCCATTTCTATGTAACTACCATCGTTCAGTGTTCCTTGTTTCCTTCGATACGTCGAACCCTTCCAGTAGTTTCTCAGTGGGTTTCATTGGCGAGGAGGTAGTAGGAGTGTTTATCGTATGTATCGTCTCTACTACGATATAATAAGGTTGTATATGAAACTCGCGTCGAGTGGAGTCCAGTAAAATCGACATTTCCGGGATCGTATGTCGTATTCTGAAACTGGGATTTTACAGTTTCCTAAGTGTCGGTAAAATATAACGTAATGTCGAACATACGAACTGTAGTGAATTTAAATGTACGAAAAAAACAAAATAAAGTAAACGCGTAACTGCAAGTTTCACTCGGACTAAGGTATTGTGCATTGCGCGTTGTTTGGAGCGAGTGATTGATAGTCGTTCGTGGTCGTCCGTCGACGGTCGAAGGGCGACAAGGTAAAGGCGAGATCCCACCTAACCACCTGTGTGTGCTTTCGAGTGCGTATGCGCGTGCTTGCGGTTCTTCGGGTACACGTGCACTTAGCTAGTTTGACCAGAGACCAGTACGAGCTCGACGACTTAACAGCTCGTATGCGCTACGCGTCTGTTAGTGTATTTTTGGCGTCGTACTCTTATACGAGCCGTTGTAGATTCGGACACTCGTTTGACCAGTTTAAATAAGAATAGTGTTAGCGAGGATAAATCGCTAGTCGCATCCTGACCGTCTAGTACGATGTGTCGTGTCGCAGCCGCGTTAGTAACAATTAAGATATCGTTGACAATGTACGTGACGGGATAATAGTTTATGGTTTTGGTGATGCATTTTTCCAAATACTGTCGGTAATGTAAATTGTGCAGAAATCGAGTGTGGCTGAGCAATGGTAGGCGCCGTTACGTGATTCGGACAGTTTTTGGCGTCGCACCTTTCACAAGACCTTGATACGGTCGATTCGGATTCCTTGGTTTCTTCAAAATTGCATATTCGTCACCGAAATTCTGACAGTTTAAAATTTCATCTGTGTCGAAGCGTGTTACTGATTGTTCATGGAACGGATCGGAATGACGTGGTGAACAAGTTAAGAAATTTGCTCGGTACACTATTCAAAACATCAACAAGTACGTATCTTAAATGAAATTTTGTTCAAATGACTGTTATCCGATTTAAACGATTTTCTTTCGTATATGTGATTTCGTATTTACCGAATTCCAACTTGCAGACATTCTCTCGATATTTACCCGCAAACCATTTACCTTATAACCTTCGATTTCATCCGTGTCGTATACACATTAAGATTGTTAGTATTACAAAAAGATCATTTCCTAGAGATAATCAGTCTTGAACATAGCCAGATCTATTTTTGGCAAATAAGTATTATTATATCTGACCCTTATGCGACGATGAAAGTGTTCATTCGATAAACGCGTACTTTTATTATTCAACGTATTCGCATGAAATTTATATACATAGATCACGTAGCTAGCGTACTCTGCGCGATTTTAGGATTTTTAAAACACGATACGTTTAAATGTTGCAAACAGCTGATTGAAAGTCTAACGAGGCACAAGCGGTTGACGATTGAAAACGCGTTGTCGTATAATTTATACGTTCTTATGTATTTATTAGGAGATATAGGCGAAGTATTTGTGCAGCATTGTTTCTTGTAAAATGGTTGCGTCGCTGTTTACCAGTGCACCTACCATAATGCAGGTTGTTCTTTCTTTCTCCCTCTCTTGCTGACTTTGTGCCTGTCTCGGTACATCTTTTCGTCTCTTTCTCCTTTTCTCTTGCCTACTTACCGAACATCGTGACTTTACAGTGTTTACGTTGCACTCGAACATGAAGTCAGTGCAAAGTGTTATTTTGTTGGACGTGTAAGTAACCGTGAATAGATTTTCGTTACATTTTCTATTTCATGCGTAGTCGTTGCTCGTGCGATACGTACATACATATTTAAAGAACGTGTGCATCGAGCACCTTCATTTTTCCTTTTCTACGAAGGAATTTATCAACGTTGTTCGCGCGAACGCATCGATTCAGTTTTCTTGACGTGTTCTCGCGCGTAATAGCGTACGAACGATTACTCGGTTATGGTTTACGTAAGAGAACAATTATTTTCTTGTTTATCGAGTTTGTTGCGTGGGAAGAAAAATTGTTTGACAACGGTAAAAAGTGCGCGATAAGCAGGTAAAAAAGTAAATTACTTTGTCTGTACTATTCCTAATGTAGCAGCTAACAATTAATGATCGTGTTCGAGTTAGTTTCGAGTTAAATCCAGCCTTGGAACACGACTACTTCAACAAAATTATCGCGAATGTTCCTTGCATTTTCTGGATGTTTGCGCCATCAATCGCCTGCTCCGATAGAATTTTCTTCGGATCGAACATACAGCGAAATGAAATTTTTCTAAAGCGAACTGTGATCGATTTTTATTTCGTCTGGATCTCGCGACGCGTGCCGGAACGTTGACAAACGTAATCGATCGTATTTGTTCAAGCATTTCATACGCGTTCGTTCCTATAATCGATGAAAATTATTAGCATCGATTTATTTGTCCGGGTCAATTGATCGTGTACTAGCTGATTTTTCCATTGGTCAGAAAGTAATTTCTCGAACAATGCTGCTCGTTCGAAATAGCGTCTATAAGGCATGGCGAGAATCGATATCCTCCACAATGTACGGGAAATTGAGGGAAAGTTCGGATTATCATTAATGCAAGAGAAACAAGCTAATACAGCAGGGTGCCCGCGCCTAAGTGTGACAGCGCGATATTTCATCAACTATTTATGATACGAAAAAGTGTTTATTTGGAAGGATAAAATTTCATTTTTTAATGTTATTAATGTGGAAGATGTGAAAAGATATGATGGCAAAGTTTCGTTTTTTATTAAGATTTATTTGTATTTACCCGAGTTTTATTATTTTTCGAGATATAACGCTTAGAAGTTTACTGATTTTCAGCAGAGACGTCTCGATTTGAGTAGTAAATCATTAAAACGGTCTTATTGTTGCGGTAAGTGTCGCATGTTTGACGCTGCCTGTCGAAACCGATAGCCGGGAATTTACGTTTTGAACGGCGATTCTTTCCACGTTTCTTACTCTTCGAACCGTTGCCGTTCGGACCGTAAATTCCCGGCTATCGATGCCGGCAGGTAGAGTCAAACATGCGGCACTTACCGCAATAATAAGACTGTTTTTATGACTTACTATTCAAATCGAGACGTCTCTGCTGAAAATCAGTAAATTTCTAAGCTAATCTCACCCTGTATGTACAAGGTTCGTTTAATTCGTTACACGAGACTGTGTACACTAAGGGGTGACTCAGATGGTGTGTTACATCATTGATTATCATTTAACGGGATCGCATCGTGAAAGTATCAATTAAAAAGTCAATCCGTCGAGATAAATACGCTGTTTCGATAAAAAAATATAACTATAATACATTTTGGTTAGGTTTAGGAAGCATAACTTCCTAGAATTCTACATTGCTAGTAGCCGATAACAGAAAACCCCTATGATTCTAGATCTCCGTTTACGGGAATATAACGACAGTCTGTCGCGATGAAAAATATTTCGAATTTCATTAGTGTTTATGTATTATATATTTATGTGTACAATTACTTTAAATTATGACTTTATTGTGTCGTAGAGTAGATGATATCTACAATAGTATTCAATCCCCAGTACGTATAGTGTTTATAAATAATCTGTTTATATTTTATACCTAGAAAATTTAATAAAATCGTTAATCACGTTATAGTCAAATTTGCTTTCTAAATCGTAGTACATAATAAGAACAAAATACTGAATGAAATACGAGACGAATCAAAATCTGTAGTGAAATATTCGTCTAACTCTTTTAATTACTGTAGAGCGTGGATGCAGTTGTGAGTCAGTTACGAGGAAGGAGGAAATGAGTCACGAGTTGTCTGGGACGTTTATTCGTGACGTAAATGCATCTCTTCTAACCAACGTCAAGTTTTCGCGGCTTTCTCGCGATCGTCGTAACGATGACGTTTACTCTGACCACGAGTTTCATGCATATTCCATTCGTCGCTTAACTGGTACACACTTTCGTTCGACTGCATTCCAGAGTGTATCAAAGACTTTTAGTCGCTAATACAACTGTCGATAACGTTACAGATCTATGCTTTGAATATAACGCAGATATTTTGTGGATAAGAACGAGCGATCTCAATAGTTCGATCGATAAATTTTCAAACGTAAAAAGTGTTATATTTGTAAATCTCTTCAAATACAGTGTATCGATGGAAAATCGATTTCTCCATAAGTTCGCATTTTCTTTAACGGGAGTAGCGAAGGATAATTTAGCTGGTAGCAGCGAAAGAATATAACGAAACTTATTCGACTTATCGAAACTATTCAATGGAAAAAATGGAACTACTAGTTTGTTTTTGTAACCAAGCAACGTTAAAAGATAACCGCAGCGGTAAAATATTAGCTTACCTCCCTCTTCTCCTCCATATACGTATATAGTTCATTTTATCGCTACGAAAAGCGCCACGAATATCGCGATAAATATTCATAATTTCGCGCTGTTTCCGTTCTCGAAACGGATTAGTCATCAGATTATTTCATTCGTCCGATCGTTTCGTGGTACGTAATAGTCTTCCGCTTCTTTTCAAGAAGTTCGAATTGTTGGTAGGAAACGTGAAAGGTGTACGATCGAAGTTTCTATATGTTTTCTGCTCGTATAACGTTGATAATATCAATTCGTGGAAATTCAAGGTGATTGTACAGTGGATCGGCGCGATAGCGATTTATCGTTTGTTAGGCATTTCGAGGCGATAAGTTGATGCGACAAACCGAACCGTCCAGTCGCGTTTCGTATCGTGTTCATGCATTACTCGAACTGCAGCGTGTTCCTTTAGTAATTTGTATTTCTTCCCTTCTACTTGCGTTTCTTTTCTTCTCATTTGAATGTCGCCTTATCTAATCTACTGTAATTGTCTCTGTTGTTTGTAGACACCGGCCGTCGAAGTGTTAAATCGCTTTCTCCCGGTACCCTTGATTAGGCTCGATCGAATCATCGAACGGGCGTCGGGCGTCGGGCGCCGGGCGCTGGGCGCGACGAATCCACGTGCTCCAATCGTTTCGAAGGATGATGACGATGCATGGATATCGTTGTTAGTTAACTCGATGAAACAAATTGGCTTCGAGCGTTGTTCCAATGGAGGCCGTGCGAAAGAAGTTGCATGCAAAAATAACCGAGACACGGTTGTTTGGTGGTTCGCGTAACGATGAAAATGAGATGCTGCAATTGAGAAGCTGCTCGGAGAGGAGTGTAATTGACGTTCCATTAAATGCAGAACTCGATACTCGAAGGTAATTGAGGTGTACACGTTGATTTTGAAAAAAAAAAGAGCCTCGATAAGTCTGCCATCCTGCATGGATGCGGTTTGATCAAATTATTATTTAGTTCGAGTTTAAATTTTAAGCGATTTCATAATAAGTACATTCAAATATCTAGTTAATTAACGTAGATTTATTTTCCTTTGGTTAAGTGGACATTTTATAGTTAAGTGCTCCATTTGTCTATACTTTTTTACAAGCTTGGACAAAAGGTTTTTCTTCAGGGACTTCGTTCTTTCTTCTTAAAGTTTTCTTCGTAAAATTTCTTACACTTGCCTTCGGCATCCCTTTGTATTTTCCTAGGTTATCCTCGGTTATTCCTAAACCTTTTTGGTTCTATTAATGCTTTTCCATAAATTTTTCATAGAATTTCCGAGATCCCTTGCAATTTTTCATAATATTCTCTTAGGCTCCTGCTACATAGTGGGGAGTTCCTATCCTGGCTTTCGCGTTAACCAAGAGAAGCTTATGTTGCACTCGTGTATAAGCGATTTTCGGCCATACACGATTCAATGATCCCACGCGTTATTAACCTGTTGCTAAAGGATGCACGACTACGCGTCGGCATACCTTGTATAGTATGTAGAAACTAGTGCATAATAAATAACCGGTTGTACGATTACAGGGATTTAATGTTCTTTTAACGTCTGTCGATGACCATTTTGAAAGGCCAGTTCGATGAAAACTCGTGCGTCAGTTGTTCGACTTCGATGTCCGATAATGACACTCGTTCCTAAGGAATGTAGGTTTCTCTGGCTGCGTTATAGTAAAAGTATACAGGCGTTCCGAACGAAACGTACGATTTTAATTTTCAGAATGTTTGCATTGATTCACGAATTCGAGCAACGTCGATGAAACGAGAGTACCAGACCTGGCTTGGAAACAATCGGTTGCAAGGCTTTGTTCGGGTTTCTACGGAGAAATAGTTGACCTTTCCTCTAAGAAGTTAACATGGCCCTGGAAATATTGCTGGCTTTATCGTATATGCGCGCGCCCCTTTTTCCGCTACAATTGATTCATTGAAAACGAATGCTTGGAAACGTTCGTGCACGATAAATTATAATCTTCTAACTTGTTTTGTCGTTACACTTTGCAAAGATTTTTCTATTACACAGAAACTCGATACTTTTAAAGAATGTTCGCTTGCACTTTGTCGTCCATTTGCACTTTTCTTTATAATCTTCACTCTTTTTTGATGCACCTACATTTTAAACGATTGTTACGTTGCAACGATCGTCCTGTTGCTTTCACGTTTCCTTAAATTTTTTACAAAATAATAGTCGTAGGACTTCTAAGCTGCTGTTCGATGAAATACCTTGATCGAGTTTCGAACAGTCTGAACGATCATAAACGGATCGATAAAATCACATTTTTATCCGCTGCTGAATCGACAGAATAACCAAGCCGACGTTTCGTTCTATGTTCTTCTTAACAATTTGCTAAACGCATTAGTATGAATTCGAGCTTAACCCTAATACGAACCGTGTGTGATTATCGTACAGGGACTCTGTTGGGAAACCTCACATCGGTAGACAATAATTTCTTTGTTGTCCGATGCTCATCGTTAATTATAGCTACGAGTCATCATGTTCGTTTGCGGTTCGAATTCCACGATCCAAAAGCTTTTTTCATCGAACCGATTAATTTGACGAGGATTCCGATTTCCTCGATTACCAAGGAACCGATACCGAGAACATAGATGCTTCATTGAACTTGAAGTCGAAATCGGTTATACAATATTATCGCGCGTATTTATATTCTTATTTACTTTTTATAATTTTTATATCGTCGCGCGTTGTATCTCTGTTTGAAACATTTATTACGTTTGAATCTCTTCTGCAAATACGCATGTTGCAACACGGCGCCGATGTTGCACTTCGAATAGCATTTCATGGGCGTTTAATACATACAAGTCTGAGGCGTTTTAGATGCACGTATTTATCGGATAGTGATTTATTTTATGAAGTTTATGCAACGTTCTCGAAAAGCGTGTTAGAAAAAAATTTGTTTGTGCATATTTATAAAAATACAATGTTATTTGGTCAGTTATTATACAATAGATATTACGTTTTATCAGTCGGAGATTAGAACAAGTATTTCCCGTGAATTCTGTTTATAGTACCGGACATGACTTAACTTCTGAAGGACGGAAGCGTTGAAAAATATCAGCTACAAGCCGGAAACTGGGTCAGTTATAATCCAAGAATTTTTCAGTATACCTACCGTAATATTCGAAACATCGATATCAATATACGTACATAATTGAAATTACCAGAAGAATTTAATTCTTCATTGTTGAAAGTATGTAATTCAACGAAAGCGGGAGCATAATGCGGTATGATTTTTTTTGAAACGTTTCAATGAAAAGGGAGGAAAATATTTTCATGCTTAGTAACCGGTCTGTTCGCGATTGGCCTTCAAGAAAATCGTGGTACGAAAGAGATTGTAGGAGATACGAAACGAGGATAAAGATGTTGAAATTAATTCCTTGCTGCTTTACATCGAGGTAAAATTTAAGTATACGCATGACTAAGGGTAAGCAACGAGTTACACGCATCTCGTATTAGATGTTTAGAAAATTTCAATTTCCTTATTTCCAAATGTCTGAATCTTCGATTTCAGAAATCCAGAAATATTTAAAGTTCGAAATTTGAAAATTTCCAAGTTGCTACCCATTCCGATGCTCGCCTATATTCTTCGTAAATTCTTCGTAAATATAAAGGTAGAATTGACTATCGTAAAATACAGAATAAGTAAAAACGGACTGACGAAGGCTATTGTAGAGAACGTCGAAGGTAATTGTGGCAGGTCTTGTGGGAGGTTCCATCCGTTAATACAGGGATGTGTGCCCATGGAATGATTGTTCAGCTGGGTCAAAAGGGTCGTCGGTCCGGAACGTTGCGACGCCAGGACTGTAGAGGTCTCGTTATCGAGTAGGGCTGTTTATCGAGTTAAGTTTCGAGTTCTGAATAAAACAACCCGCGTAAATGGAAATCTGTCATGGAAGTTCATGGAAAAACACTGTCGTTGTTTTTCCAGGATTCGGGAGTATCTATACGATGCCGACGTTAAATGTTCGCTACGGGTATAGGTCAGAATACTTGTAAGATATCTGCTTATCGTACTTCACGATGGCATTGAAACTAAATATAATGTATACAAAAAGATTTAAAAGGAGTCGATTTACGATAATAGTTATTAGATTTTTCGATCGTTCAAAGGATCTAGAGGGAGGAGAAAAGGGCTTTCGGTTGCTTTAGGTTGTTTCGTCGAACGACCTTATCGTGCTCTCTTCCGTACCTCTAAGAATCGAAACCGAATGACGAACGAATGTAAGTACGTCCGACACTCTTCTAACGCCGTTTGCATTTATCGTTCTATTCGACGCAGAACGCAAGATCCGCCTACAAGGAGTCTCTACCTCGATGCAACCCACGCATTGCATTTCTTGATTCACATTTTGCGCCTCGCGATCAATCAACAGAAGATTCTTTAGAATTCTTTTTCGTTGTCAGCGAAAAAACTGGCAATATGTATTCGATATTTATTGGCAGTACTGAAATATTAATACCGTATCGACAATATACGTATGTCTATTTATTCTTAGAATCCTGAAACGATTGTGCCAGTTCTTTCGTTTATTTCGTCAAACATGGGGTAATGACGCATAGGGAGTTACCTATATGTATAGAACCGATTAAATATCTCACCGCTTGAAGGTATTTCTTTTTCGTCTCTACGGCGTTTCCACTCGTGATCGCGATCGCAGGTATTATCGGCAAAAGAGTGTCTCTGCACGTTCGCCAAACTTTCCACAAACGGATATGTGCGGTGCCTCGGCCATTTAGGATTTTAGCGAAGCCTGGCCGCTGCCTTTAAAACGCGCCCCGTCGAGTACCCTTAACACGATAACCTTTTGCTCGGCAGCCGATGATAACTAAAAGTAGAACGTGTTATGTTGGCTGCATCGTTGAGCGTCAACGATCCGGTTAAACATGGACTGCTCCAACGTTTTATCGAACGACCGACGCGAACAATAAACTCGCCTGGCCTGATTTTTGCTCCGAGATCAGATGAAAAAAGAAGATAAAGAAGATTTCCTTTCGACCGGAAAGATTTCCGGTTAGAATCTTGTATCATCGATTGAAGAGAAATCACGGTATCACCGTGACTCGAAATTCCTCGATTGAACCGTATCGCGTCTATAAATAATCATGCCCGATCCGCATTCGAATTAATACTCGCAACGATCCATCGTGTTGTTCGTTGTTCTTTGTCCGGTGCCAGTTTAATTGGAAAGTGCGAGTGCAATTGCTTCTTATTTTTCATTCTTCCAATTTTATTTTAAATATATAACTACTCTTCGCTCGGTATGGAGATTAAACATTTCGAGGTCCCCGTCTTCCGATAAGAGTGAGAATCTTCAGTTCAATCGACATTATATTAGTATTCGGATTAAACGCATATAGATAATATAACGAACTTATGTAATATATTTACCGATTAATATTATCATCAAGCGATAACAATCATAGTTATTTTCAATACAACAGACAGCGCGTTCAATTTTGAAAGATGAAAAATACGGTATTACACGCAATAGTAATGTTATTGACGAATAACGAAAATGCCAAGATAAACTTCATACGAGATAATGCCAGGAGTTATTCGTTATTTAAACATTGATGCACGAAATGCATCGAATGTAACGATAGATTTCGACTTGATCGCTTTATGTAGCCTTGCATCACAATGTACATCGTAAACGATTCCGATGTATGTAACAAACATTTCGCTCCGGCGCCGTAAGCGAGTTACGTAAAATTGGCACGGTATTCAGTGTGTTAATTAAGCTCGAGTCGATTTAAAAAACGCGCATTGACACTTAGACACGTTTAGTGTACAGTCGATTACGAATAACAAATCAATGGCATCTAACAAAATAAAAATCAGCGATTTTCTCGTAAACGATGTTTTGGTTATTGTTTATTTAACTCGATCATTGTAAACGTCGAGGCAACTCCTGTCCGTACACTCGTTCTTAACCGAGTGTTCTCTACCTACCTTGCTTCCGAATCTACATGATCATTCACGATCTTACGCAGTCTAATATATTGATCGGATACATGTCCGTAACATTATCTTACGTCCGAAATCCTCTATCGAAGATATAGCTCCTTTCCATGGCAAGGTTCGCTGCTGTTTATCGCGGTATAAGAAATCTTGTTTCTCGTAATTTACTTGTTTCGATAAATTGACTCTTTCGTACCAACGAACGTCTTTACGAATCGCGTACACTTATGTATACGTTCTAGAAGAGTAAATATCGAGGTATTAAAAGCGTACATGCCCGACGAGCGGAAGTAAGTAACGGTGGTAGTATGGGAGAAGCCCAGAAACGAAGCACGTTCTGTTTGGGACGAAAGGGTTGGGCAATTGATCGGCTCCTCGCTCGACGAACACTCCGATCCGCCACGTTGAACGGTAAAGCAATTGCGAATGATAGTCGCACCGTCTTCTGTTCGCAGGATGGTATTGGACCCCAAGGTCACGAGTCTGCATAGTGATTACGGAAGCTTCGATCGAGCATTGGGCGCCGGTGAGGGCCACGAGAGGGACGTCGAGGCGACGGTTGATGGAAGCAGCAACGGGATGGCACAGTCGAGCGACGTTTACCAACGGCAGCCGTTATTACCTGGTGCACCGACCAAAGGCAAAGATAAGTGGGCCGGTGTCGCGTCCGGTTCCGACTATTACGTTGACGACGAAGACGAGAAGATCGACAGTCTCGGCCGGCATCCTGGCATACCGAATGGATCCGGAAATGGTGTCGTTAAGCTCGACATACCTGCTCCCTTACGGGAAGAACCTCGTTTCCCTAAAGAGAAGTGGAAAACGTTTCTTGGTAGGGATCATCATCGATATCTTCTTTTCATTTTCGATCACCCCTATGCGTTTCTCTGTTTCGGCTTTAACTGTGTTTTAGGGCACGTCTCCAGATGCCATAATCTTTAGTAGCTTGGAAAACTGTTCCAGGAAGATGGACGAGCAAATAATTTCTTTAATAGTTTCAGCAACATCGTATACGCGTACGCTAACGTTCGGCTAATAATCGCAGATTTTAGGATCAAGTTACCTGTCTGCTACTACTGTCAGTCTATCGTTGTACCTTTTTTCGACTAGGTTCTCGAGTACGTTCTGTTCACACGGCGAGGAGGTATCCATCGAGATCGAGGTCAATGCGTGACCTGGTATTTCGCTACAGATCTACACGGAGGTTGCTCTAATACGGTCAGGCTCGATCGTGTGTTCTTGAACGATCGAGTCATTAGAACCAACTCGTGTTCCGTTAGTCACTTGTTTCTCAACCGGATTGTTGTCCGACAAAATTTCTTAACATTCGCGACGATACGAGAAGTCCGATAGTTCACGATGCAGTCACGACACGATTCTCTATGTGAACAGACTTTCGTTTTTGTATGAAATGTCCTTCGTCTTATCCATTTCTATATCTCTACATAATTTAATTAGTTATAAGAATCTCCCTGTCTGATAACTCTGTAATCTTAATAGATCGCAGACACTGATCGATAATCAAGGATATAACAGAAACGGGTGTCATTTGAAAACAATCGATCATTGGCTTTATTAATCCTTCCTTACGTCATAATACAACGGTGTCACTTTGTTTTCAACGATGTATTCTATTATTATTATTCGATCACAGAAAGATGCGTCTTGGACGAGTAGATAGATAGCATTATTTTGGCTCGTGATGCATTTGGAAGAATATATGTAATTTCTTCGAGTCCGTCGAGAGAATGATTCATTCACCTTACTATGTATATCGCGTATACAATATCAAAGATACATAGACTAAGGATCGTTTCACTTTCTGTTACAGCATTTTTATTTATGGTCGTGAACTTTATACTGACCACTGCGTCCCTCGCAATGGTGCACGAGCGAGTCCCCGATCGGAACACATACGGTCCGCTTCCGGATGTCGTGTTGGACAATGTCGCCGCTCAGGATTGGGCTCTCAACGTATCAGAAATTTTGATTATGATACTGTCTAACTCAGCGATGGTTTTTATTATCTTTCATAAGCATAGGTATGTGTTACGAAAGCACGATCGACTTTAAAAGTATACTTCCTATCGACTTTAAAAGTATATTTTCATTCTTTCAGATTTATCGTTGTTAGGCGAATATTTCTTTTGATGGGGCTGCTCTATATGATGAGAAGCATCACGATGTACGTAACGGTACTGCCTGTGGCTAGCAAAACGTATTTTTGCAGTCCGAAAGCGAACAACACGAGTCCGCTTCTCGTTACCAAGAGGGTACTGCAGCTGATTTCAGGCTTCGGCTTGTCTATAAACGGCAAGCACACTTATTGCGGGGATTATATTTACAGCGGTCACACGGTCGTGCTTGTACTTAGTTACCTGATTATCAAGGAGTGTACGTATCAATTGTATATCGTCTATCTTTCGGTTATACTATTTATCGGTAGCGCATAAGAATCGTCTGAAAGGATAATTAAAATTGCAGATTCTCCGAGAAGATGTCAACTGATACATTGGTTAGCTGGTATTACTGTTCTTGTCGGGGTAATTATGGTTTTGGTGGCTCACGGACATTATACCGTGGACGTCCTTATAGCATACTACGTAACTACGCGCTTATGGTATATTTATCATACGTTAGCTAATAATTCGCATCTTAAGGTAAGTTGTGTTTTCATGCCAATGCTTTTATATTAATAATAGACAATTGTCGTAGAATTCATTATACATGCTACATCCGGAGATACGAAAGAAACAACGCGTATATTCGTCGGATAGATATCGCGACAAGTAAATGTTCATATCGATAAACCAAAAAGAAATAATTCTGAAATTTTTTCCAGCAATACGAACCAAACAACTTTCTGGCCCGACTCTGGTGGTTTCCTATTTTTAAGTATTTCGAGAAAAACGTGGGCGGCACGGTGCCACGACAATACGATTGGCCTTTACCCTGGCCTCGACGATTCCTTGCCAAGCACCCTAATCGGGACAGTTAATGTCTGTCTTTGATTTCGCGATAGAGGCTGTCAAACAACGGAGTTACTTTTGTTGTCATTTGTGTATATATATATGTATATATATATAGACATATATGTATACGTACCTAGGCTTACAATGTGAAGATAAAGCTTTACTAGAAAATGGTACGAGAAACGAGGACGATGCGTGTGGTACAAGCTTTTGATCGGCGTTTGTTTCGAAGCTCGACGAAAGTTTGCGGTGTTCACTTCCTTAAAGACGAAACAAAAGAAAAGAAAAAAAAGCAAAAATAGAAAAAAAGAAGAAAAAAAAACTAACACATGAACGATAGTGAAAAAAGATTCTTGTATCGTCATGTTCGTTATCGTCCATATGCAAAACCTATTTTTTTCTTGATTTTGATACGACTTATACATAAGATATAAGAAAATAGATAATGGTAGTCTGAACTTTAGTCTCGCAACGGGAAAGAATTCACTTGTTGTTAGAGGGAGGTATCCGAAAGTTACCAACAAATTTAGTGTATAAAAATAAATGCTAGATATCTCTATTTTCAGATACTCCGAAACGCGAAATATTTAGGTATATAACAAAAACAAATTTATGCTGTATCGCTAAATGAAGCGTGGAAACACTCAGACGTCTTGTTGAAACGTAGTGATAACGATGCGGAGAGAAATCGTTTTATAGCTCTCTTGTTTGAACAACGACTCGGATTGGAAAACAATTACTAAAAAGAAAACTGCGCTGCAAATTTTATTTTTAAACAAGTGACATTTTATTTGCGGCGAGACCTTCCTCTGGCCAATCTTTGGAGCGTCTTCTAATCTTTCGACTTCCAAGATACCAAGACGATGTCGTTCTTTGATATTTGTTACACTGCGGCATGCCTTATTCCGACGAAAGTCAATCGAATGCAATGCAATTTTTTAACCGCTTCAATTGGTCAATTATCGTCGTTCGTTTCTCTAGCTTCGTTTCATAGCATTCCCTCGAAATTGATACTACGCTAATTATTTTATTGCGGAGAAACGTTTAGAAAAGAGAATTGGCCCATAGTTAGAAATAAAACATTTAATCGTGCAATTTCGTGGGACCAAACACAGAACAATTGGAAATGTAATATAGCGATCGAGAGAGTGATTGTTTTTTAACGAACAAGATTAATAGCAGCGACAATAGATACGCATATTTAAGACGAACACAGAATTAGTCACAAATGCCGATGTTCTTGCTCTAATTCGTAGACTATGGCTGTTGTTACACGCTGACGTATATTACATCGTGATGTGTTCTTCTCTTCGATAGACTTTTCTTATTGAAGGTGGTGCCGCGTGTTCGATTTTTAACTAATACGCGCGATATGCTAGGCATACGTTATGCTAAGCACAAGATGCTGTCGTCGGTGTAACTAGGTCTTTTGTCTGGGGTGGGCTAAGGCGTAATAAAGTCGCTTTGGAAAATTGGTAATTTGGAAATTTAGGGACTCGAGGATTTAGAAATTTACGAGTTTGAATTTTTAGAGAAAATTAAACATTTCTAATTTGTCGTTTAAGAAGGGCTAAACCCACCCTCGGCTTTTCCTAGTAACACCAATGTATGCAGTATACCAATGAAATTCGTGTGATTCCTCGGAATAAGGTCGTCTTTTAATTACACACACACACGTACATACATACACGTACATACGTACATACATACACAGAGAGACACGCGCATACACGTAACACGTACACACACACACCAGATGTTGTCACGCATAGATGCGAAAATGGAGATGTGAATCGTGCGAAGAAAAACTATCGCGTTACACGTGATGAAAAAAAAGAGGAAAAAAGGAGAGAACGAAGGAAAAAAGAAAATGCATTTTCAAATTGTCAATTCTTCGTACGATTTCCTCTTCCCCTTCTATCATCTAACACTATAAAATTCGTAACAATTCTATTCTTGTCTCGCGAGCGAGCGCTTTTCAGTTTCATCTTCATTCGAGCTACATTAGCACAAAACGCTTTTTTATCGTGAAAAGAACGTTTCAATGAATCTCAGTTTCTTTCGAAGGGAAGGAGGATGGATGATGAACAAATAGAATGCGAATGATTCGTGTATCCTGTGAAACCGTTGAGCGATGTTTGTGAAATTTGTGCATAGTTTAAGCAACGTTAACTACAGCGATTTGTTGTATTCTTCTGCACGCACGATTTATTGTTTATAATTGGGTGCAGAAAGCTCTCGTTATTCGTCGTATCTAGTTGACGCACAAACGTGCGTTTCCTGGGATCGATTAAACTTGTAAATCAGCGAAATAAAACAATGGAAATGTAGAAATCAGTCACGGCAGTGTCCAGTTTTCCGCTTTTATTTTTCTTTTATGAATTCGACGGCCGAACAACGAGCAAGTAAGAGGAGATCGAGCGAAATCGAACGAAAACTGTGTCGAGGAAACCAGGCGAATAAAGATATGAATCTGTTGGCCCTTATTACATGGTAATTAAGTCTTTTTCCGTCTGTGATGATTAACGAAGAAACGAAGAATCATCGTTACGACAGTTTGCGTTCGTGATACTAAAACGAAACACGACTGCGAAACGATTCAAATTGATGTTATGCCGATCAAAGTTACCGATATTTCCTGTTAACCCTCTATGGACCATTTCTGCTTTCTGTCGCGAATTATTTCTGAACGTAATTAAAGATTAAATTTGTTTTCTATTTTGCGATGGTGCTATAAACAGAACTGACGCGAAATCGGAGCGCTGCAAGTTTGAAATGCTTCAAGCTTGAAACGCACATAAATTTTATTAATATTTGTATTAATATGATATTATGCATAGAGCTTCGCAAACAGTATAATAGATTTTTCATAGATTGTGAGGCTCGTTAACACGTTTGATCCGAAAGTAACAAATGCGCAGTTCACTGCCTATCTAGGTTGTGTAATTATTACTCATTGGGATCTAAACGTGTTGAAGTATGAATTGGGTGGATGTTTTGAACCAGCCTCACATCGATGCGATTATAAACAATTAGTTCTTCGAACAACTAATAATCCTTGAATGACAGAATCAAATTTTGAATTCGTCTTTGCCCTCATCTGCTAAATTTCATACTATTTTTTTTAGATATTATTTTCCCAATACATGAAATATCTAATTTTAATGAACGTACCGTTGTATAATGTTTCGTGGATTCGAGTCAAACAATTGACGCGGTCACTGTCAGTCGAGGATTAAGGTAACGATTAAATAACATGATAACGTGCATAGTGCAATGACACCTGTTGGGCTATAGAGGGTTAAATGTTCATAGATGCGTGTATCGAATATATATACATAGATATGTATACAACATATATTTTAATAAGATTAAATGTGGTTCGTAGCGATATATTTCTTAAGTAACGACGCAGCGTTCGATGTATTATCCAAATGGATCGTTCAAACATTATTTTGGAATGTGTGCAATGAGTATTGCACACCGCGTAATCATAGGGAGGATGATGCAGTGCGTGCGATTATTATAGTTGTTGAGAAAAGCTGCGGGAGAGCATCCGAAAACAAAAGCGTTTTGAAAATATGTATACATAGTGTTAGCGTTGATCCTTTCCCTGAGCGGGTACGCTACGAACGAGCGCCACGAAATAATTTCTGACACGCTGTCGAAATAGAGATATTAATAACCGCGTCAAATCGCAGCCAAAATACGAACGTGCAAATCGTGCATTATTCATGTTATGTGCGTTAACACGACGTGCACATCGACCTATGCATTTGTACGTATGGATTCATGCCAGGAGAAATAAATGTTACAGCAGTGATGGGCAAATCATTTGCCCACTGAAGGGTAGTAATGTGCGAGTGGCATGTAGCGATCGCGTATAAGATAGTTCATAAATTTAGAAATTCAAGGATTTGAAGGTTTAGAAATTTGAAAATTTAAGAGTTTTGGAATTTATAAACTTGGAAAGTTGGAAATATGAGAATTCGAAAAATTCGAATGGGCTGAGGAATTGACCGTTTAGAAATGTGTAAATTTGAAAATTTTGTAGTTGCTCATCACTGTTCTCTACGCACACGATGAACGGAGAATATGTGCTTTTTTATGACTCAAAGGGCCTCGTCACTTCATACAAGAAGATATATCGAGTAGATGGATATAAAACGAGGAAAAAGAAAAGCAGAGCGCAGAAAATATTCGTCGCGTTATATCGATTCGGAACAACTAGAAAGAAAGAAAAATAAAAGAAAAAGCCGAAGTACATTATGAACACGCGCCCGTAAATAACATACTGTGTATGTGTATTTACCGTTGTATAATGTTTCGTGGATTCGAGTCAAACAATTGACGCGGTCACTGTCAGTCGAGGATTAAGGTAACGATTAAATAACATGATAACGTGCATAGTGCAATGACACCTGTTGGGCTATAGAGGGTTAAATGTTCATAGATGCGTGTATCGAATATATATACATAGATATGTATACAACATATATTTTAATAAGATTAAATGTGGTTCGTAGCGATATATTTCTTAAGTAACGACGCAGCGTTCGATGTATTATCCAAATGGATCGTTCAAACATTATTTTGGAATGTGTGCAATGAGTATTGCACACCGCGTAATCATAGGGAGGATGATGCAGTGCGTGCGATTATTATAGTTGTTGAGAAAAGCTGCGGGAGAGCATCCGAAAACAAAAGCGTTTTGAAAATATGTATACATAGTGTTAGCGTTGATCCTTTCCCTGAGCGGGTACGCTACGAACGAGCGCCACGAAATAATTTCTGACACGCTGTCGAAATAGAGATATTAATAACCGCGTCAAATCGCAGCCAAAATACGAACGTGCAAATCGTGCATTATTCATGTTATGTGCGTTAACACGACGTGCACATCGACCTATGCATTTGTACGTATGGATTCATGCCAGGAGAAATAAATGTTACAGCAGTGATGGGCAAATCATTTGCCCACTGAAGGGTAGTAATGTGCGAGTGGCATGTAGCGATCGCGTATAAGATAGTTCATAAATTTAGAAATTCAAGGATTTGAAGGTTTAGAAATTTGAAAATTTAAGAGTTTTGGAATTTATAAACTTGGAAAGTTGGAAATATGAGAATTCGAAAAATTCGAATGGGCTGAGGAATTGACCGTTTAGAAATGTGTAAATTTGAAAATTTTGTAGTTGCTCATCACTGTTCTCTACGCACACGATGAACGGAGAATATGTGCTTTTTTATGACTCAAAGGGCCTCGTCACTTCATACAAGAAGATATATCGAGTAGATGGATATAAAACGAGGAAAAAGAAAAGCAGAGCGCAGAAAATATTCGTCGCGTTATATCGATTCGGAACAACTAGAAAGAAAGAAAAATAAAAGAAAAAGCCGAAGTACATTATGAACACGCGCCCGTAAATAACATACTGTGTATGTGTATTTATATGTATATACATAACATATATATATATATTGTATATATATATATATATGTATATATATTTTTACTGTGTAGATATTTTTTGGTAAATTGTTACAATAATCCTATTAGATCAGGTTAAGCGTATACATATAACATATATATGTAAATACAAATACAATAATAGCCGAAGAAAAAGCTTCTCATAATCGCCGGAGTTTTCTCGTCGGGAACGAACGAACGAACATAAACGAAATTTTGTTACCGTTTCAATGAAACATTCGACTCCAATGGTTATATACTATATACACATATAGCTTTTTCAATGATTAGCGTCGTGTTTCTTTCTTTATGCCTGTTCAATTACCGAGTAATCGTATTCTTTCTGTAAAAGAAAACGACTGGTTACTGGCACGCGTGTAACTTGGTTTCCATTCTCCGATGCGAGCACATCATATTTTGTACATAAAGATAAAGATGTTACTCTGTTAAAAAATGTCTTCGACGATTGTTTAATTAAAGAAACGGGGTTTTAAACGTCGATATTACATTGCGCCAGCGTGCAACAATGTAAAGACGAACTGCAAGTTGTATTCGATTTTACTTGATACTACTCTATATTTATAATATTTATTACGTTTTTTCATATGTTGGTGTAATAAAGTTTAGGTATATACTTTGCAACGCTCGCTTTAATGTATGTCTCCGACCTACAGGATGAATGATCATTACTCGCCTTTTGTCTCTTGTAAATTTCTGTAACGAAACTTACGTTATCGGCCTTTCATTTCCATGATCTCTCAGTAAAAGTATCATGAGCACAAGTTCATCATTTGTTGTCTATTGCCTTGTTCCCGTTTTTCTTTTTTATAATTTATCGTAAAACACGAACGAAGTATGTGTACATGCATATAATGTGTCGGTCATAAAGCAGTAAAATATACCGAATTATGATTGAAAGTAGTTTAACGTTCTACCGCTAAATGGCGCGACGAGTATCTTTTTTTGAAGTATATTGTCTACACAATGATCGTTAACGGTTCAAATAAGTATAATGGAAAAAAATATTGTGCAAATCTTGTGCAAAGTCTTAAAATATTGTGATTTTTTTTTTGGATAAAGCATAAAATTTGGCGATATTCCGAAAACGGATTTAGTTGCCTCGTTCGTTTCACTGTCCATCGCTAGATGGCACAAGTGGCACTGTTTTCTGAAGGGCGCATTAATACGAAATAAAAAGATTTAGCGAAACAGCAAAAATGTTTTTAGACAATAGAATCCAGTGTAGAGCCTTTCAAATCTTATGACGCTAAATTTTCACACATTGTCCGTGATTCTACTTAACTGCATACGTATCGAGCATTTAGGATAGAAGACGCGCGAGTAATGTCGGTACTCCGCCTTTATCGTGTTTCGTAAAATATTTAACGAAGTTGATAAGACGTTTAACGATAGGAAGAAAAATAAACGTTTGTTCGACGCGTAAAGATCGAAAGCAATGAACCGTTCTATTATTTTTGTAAATCTTTTATACGTATTAGGGAATCCGAAGAAACGCGTCCCTCTAGACGGACATAGCGAATCTGTTCGCAAAACGTTGCGATGGCATCCGAGATGGTTTTCAAGGTGACACGGACCTTGTATCGTAAAAGCAGCGATGTGTACGAAAGGTGATCAATAACCGTCAATATGCAGGACGACGTTTTAATAAGAGTGTAAGCCCGAGATCCTAGGGCCCAGTTTATGACTTCGCGACACAGGACGTCACTTCGCCGCTCTTACTGCCTGCTCTTTATTATCATTCGTCCCTGTCTTTTCGACGTTTCTCTGTCACTCCTTTACCTCCCTCGTCGCTCTACCCCTATTCTTCTCCCACTCTCGGTCACTCTTCGCCGTTGCTTTCTTCTCTTCCGTCCTACTTCTCCGTCTTTGTCTTCTCTTCGACTCTCTGGCTGTTTTCACGCGAATTTATTATTTATAAAGCCGAAGGAGCTTGCGACTCCTCGGGCGTGTTCCGACTTGGTCGTCCGACTTGCAGCCTCCCAACAAAATTCTGCCACAGTTGTAGAGCCTCGGTCGATTCGTTTCCGTGACGCTGCGTCGTTTTCTCGTTCGGAAACGTCGTTGGTGTTGGTATCGATCAAAGCATGTATCATAACCGACCAGATGTATCCCATCGAAGAATCGCCTTATCTGTAAAAGCTGGATCGAAGCGAAACGAGTTTAAGTTAACCTCCGGACTGGTCGATTATGCTAAATGTATTTCTCGTACCGCGATGCTGATTAGATTATTAGTTAAAAGCATCGGATTATCTGAAGTGGCGACATATGTTCGACATTTCCGGAAGTCGACTGTTTCGAGTGGCTCGCACGCGGCCGCTACATGGATGTTACTTTTTATCAGGAACTTCGATAGACGAGAACGCTTGGCTCGAGTACAGAGCGCAGTACGCGTAACGTCACTCGCGCTCGTTTCGATAGAAAGAATTTTCAATTCGGAGTCAACCGAAAGACAATGCGCGTTTATCGAATAAATAAACAGCGAAAGAAAGAACGATGCTCGTTACTCGTTTGTTTTCGCGAAGTTAGCCTCGATTATCTTGGTCGAGAAGGAGACAAGCCGATTCGTCGCCCCCTCTAGGGCTTCGACTCCGTGAACGCTGTGAAGCTTAAAGAGATAGGATTACTCGCGATTCGAAATTTATTTACACCGGCCTTAATCCCTATTATAGCCGCACGCGTAGCCCGAGGAAATGGCCGAGCAATTTCGGATTTCGACTGCCGTGAGATGATGGATCGCCGTTTCGTAGCCGGGCGCTGATGATACCTCGCAGATGTAACCTCCGCACCCTTTTCGGGACGGAACCACTTGCCGGTGATTATCGATTAAACGCATGCACGTCGTAGCCTCCTCTACTCTGGCCTCGCCTCGATTTTCCTTCTAGTTCCCCTTTCGTTTCTTCCTTTCTTTCGTTCTTTCTTTTCGTCTCGTTGCATCGCTTTCGTTCCGGGGCCGCCGACATCTGGCCCGCGGCGCGCCGCTTCGCCCCGTCTGTCCTCTCGCGTTCGCGACCGCGTCGCGTATCGCTGTTTTTAAATTCGATCTTCGATCTTTGTCGAAAATTCGACCGGCAAGTTCGCGGTCGTACCCACGGAAGCAGCCTCGATGTTAGCCTAAAACTTGAATCATCGCTGTTGTAACGAGCAATCTCGATAGGATTAAAAGGTTGTTTACCGAAACGGAAAGCCGGGGAGTTTGGGTTTACTTGGCGCAGTCGACACAAGCGCATCCTGCCGGCGCGGTGCGGTCGACGGCTTCCTACCGAATGCGTACATGTTCCTTCAGCTGCTGTCGTTGCGCTGTGTACTCGAATCAATCGTTTCCATCTGTTAAACTCTCGGTAGCGACACTACGAACCTACCAATTTCGAAATCTCGGATATTCGGAGTAGTTAAAGAAGCGAAGTAGAAAAACTTTTGAGATTAGTGGGAAGTTAGGCTCCTAGCGACAGTTAAAGCTCGAAGACGTTTCTCGTGAATATCTTCGCGTTGCTATGCTACCGAGGATACTTGCAAGTTTCGCGTTCTGCGCCTTCGAGGATGCCGGCAGAGTTCTTTTCTACACCTAATAAACACGGACATTGAAAATTATCGCTACCGCCTACAACGTGGTGGCTAGTTTTCATCCGGGTACCTAAGGAGCTCGACACACCGATAACGAGCAACGAGAAGTGACAGCGAGGTAACAGAGAACCGTCGATCCTGGGTTGTCTTCACTCGCTCGATCGCTGAAATAGTATTGTTACGCTGCTCATTGAGCACGAGGCATGTCATAGATTGTCAACGGGCGATCGAGGTACAACCTTCGGCACCGGGTAATAATAGATATGCTGTCAGCGGGATGTTTCGACATTCGATCAGAAGATTTTTTTTCTTACCTGACTGCAGGAAATCGAGGTTCGAGCAAAGACGACGAAATGGCGGGGGGAGAGGTTTCGAAGCATAGGAAAGCGAATAGCAGGAGAGGCGGGAGAACAAAAAAGGGCGCGCAGGAAGATGGAAAGGATTACGGTGCGTCAGGAGCGATGACTGAACGGCCGGTAATCGCCGTGCCGCTCTAATATTTCGAATAGTTCGCATTTACAATGGGCTTTATTGGCGGGAAAACTGAAAGGGAGGGGTATTTTGAGCGGCCAGGACATCCATCACCGGGTGTCAACGTTTGTCTTGCGTCGCGTTCAACGCGGAAAAGTATTGACGTCGAATAGAAGCGTCGAGCGACGACGAGCCAGCCAACGCGTCGCGTTCGCGGACGGAAACGATCTCCTCGTTCGATGTCGCACGAAACGCACGCTTCGCGAGAGGTTGTTCCGCCAGTAAGCATCCTGACCATCGACTTGCCGTGATCGATGGACCAAAGGGAGTTCGTCGATGCCGAGACAACGTGTTTGGACAGCTTTATTTCGACCGACGAATTTTAGCGTGCGACGGGGCGTTGCGGGTCGTCATTGTATCGTATTTAAATGAGCCTTCTAATGCGTTCAGCCCGAATATCGGTCTAGAATTATTTTGTTCTGCCAAAAAGGATCGCCGCGTGTTGTCTATATTACCGTGCATTAAAGATTTCCAATTGTCTCGTTGACGTCGTTACCAAAGCAATTAGATATATCTTGTAGCGAACAGGTTTTGTGTAGAAATTCGATGGTGATTACAGAGTGTGACAATTGTCGGTAGCGAATAATCGTATGAAATTTCTGCAGCTTGCTCAGCTTTTCCTCGTTTCAGTATGCCGATTCGTTGGCGTCGTGCATACTTACTAATTCAGAAAGGGGGAGAATAATCGAGAACGTTGGAACGAGCAAAAAAGCGATCGGCGTCGTTCGTTGGGAAAACAGTTATACGGGTGGCCAGAGAGTAGGTATACGTAGCAACATACGCTGACGAGAGGCGTCGATGCATAATCGGAGCGCACCCTTCCGTGGCTATCCGTTTTATTTATCCGATAACACGCCATTATGGGCGAATCGCGGATGCGGCTGTGTGTCAGTAACGATTGGCTATTTATAATAACACGTGGCATATGGGTAATTAGTTGCGCGTAAGCCAGCCTGAAAAACCCGAACGTTGACGGTACTTGTCCAGAAAAATTATCGTCGTTTTTCATCGTCCCGCCTCGAAATCCATTATTTCGGCTCTTGATTTTTCTCCGACCTGTGGCTACGTAACACCGTTACGCGCTATACGCGATGTTTCACAAATGCATGTAGATATTTCAGGGGGCAAACTTACACGCTAAAACTGCTAAAAATAGGTATGGGATTAAAATTGTTTCTGCAGCACCGTAGCTTACTCGCGTGGGCTCCTAATTTCGGAGATAAGTTTCTTGTAACGAGTCTACATTATTGTGAACGCAACACGATCGCATAATGTAACTCCACGAAGAATACCTGGTATTTTCGAACGAGTACGGAACTCGAGGCTACGGCGTTCAGTAACGCGTGGCACTTTCGATACTTTCTTTAATCGTTCGTAACTCGAGAACCAAGTTATACCGGATACGCGTCGGTGGGACGTTTTCTATTTGTTTTAACGCGCAGATTTACCCGTTCGAATATTCGTTTATGAAACATACTGTACTGGCCTGTAGCGCGCGTGCAATTAACGTTTTGTAAAATCTGCTCCGCTCTTTCGTGACTTCCTTTCGGGATCGACTTTGACGCCTGTTTTGCCACGACGCGCACGTATCACGCACGAACGAGTAATTACGTTAATTCGAGGAAAGACGATGATAGACCGGCGACGAATCAAGGGGATGCCAGGGTAAATTGAAGGAGAACGGAAAGCC